TATTTTGACATTTAATGATTTAATAAATATATATATATATATATATATATTTCATGTATTTATTTAAATTTAAATTAAATATAAAGCTATTATTAAAAATAAATAGCTATTAAATATAAATATATTTTTATATTTAATTTTATATTTTTTTAATTATATATAAAAAAAAAAAAATTAAGATAATTTTCTTATTATTTATTTTAAAATTAAATATATATTATATATATATATATAGAAGTATATTAATTCTTTTGACTATTATTTTCTTTTACTGACTATTTATAATGAACTCATAAGAATCTGAAGTAATAATATAAAAAGGCAAAAAAAAAAAAAAACAATAAATATATTAGAAAATATAAAAAAAAATATAAAAATTCTTTGAAAAGCATAAAATTTATTTTTTAAAATGAACAAAACCATATAAAAAAATAAGATATTTCAAATTTAATTAACATAAGAATAGTGCAATATAATAAACTCGATAATACCTTATGGATTTTAATTAATTTAGAATAAAGATCAAGGCAAAAAGACCGAAAAAAACTAAAAAAATATAAACTAAAATAATTAAAATATTCAACTAAATAAAAAGTTTTAAAATTTCATTGATGATCTTAAAAAATAAAAAGATTATAAATCTTTTATTTTATTAAACTCAAACAATTAATTAGAATAAAATCTTTAACAAATACAAATAAATATCAAATAAGGAACTTACAAATACAAAGATTAATTCCAAAAAGATATGAAAAAATATATTTCTTTATGTTTACAAAATATAAATAAAGATAGTAAATTTTTGATTTTTTTCTAGAATTTGAATAATTATTTATAAAATAATTTTGAAATAATGTACTTTAATATATATATATATATATTTTATAATAAAATAAAAGTGATAAATCTTCATAAGTTAAAACTCTTAAATTATTATAAGATTAACCTTTGACTATTTAAGAAAATAAGATTTTAAGTATTCAATTGAGATAATACTTGCAAACTGATCTTAAATAAGTTTTGGAAATAATAAAAGGTTATTATTATTTATATGAAAATTAAATTGAATTTGATGTTGACAACTTACCTTCTAAAGTTGCTAGAAATTTATTATAATATGTGACTCTCAAAAATATATAATCATTCTGTAATAACTAAAATCCGAATATAGCGACGAAACAATTTAAGGATAGTTTAGAATACAAAGATTATTGATATTTTTTTATTTTTATCATAAAAGGATAAATAAAATAATTAACATATTTTTTTTAAAAAAAATAAATAGTTATTATTAACAATTTAAAATATATATAGTTTTAATCAAATTAAATAATAAAAAAATAAATAATCTTTTAATAAAAAATGAATAAAAATTTATATTTTGAATGTTTTTTATGTAAAAAAATACAAAACTTAAATGAAAAAACATCAATACAAGTCCGAAACTCAAATCAAAATCAAAATACTTTAAACCAAAAAAATATATAATAGATAAAATTAAGCTAAATAAAATAATTAAATATTTAAAAATAATAAAAATATGGGAATATTTTATGTAATGAATGTGAATAAGATTTAAATCAAACAGATCAATAAAGAATTGCATTTTACAAATTTATAGAAATATTCGAAAAAAATTCAGAATAAAATACAACTAAAAACTAAGAAGAATAAAAAATTCAATTTAAGGATCTTTTTAAGTTAATAATGCATTTGTTTAATGAAATAGCAGGTTTATCTTAAATAATGAATACAATTTAAGAAATATTTAAAATAAAAGAAAATGAAAGGGCTGATTTAATAAATAAAGCTCAGTTTTGTCAAATAACTAAAAACTTAATGTAATTAAATTTTGATTTTTTTATAAAAAAAGAATAAGAAATAAAATCAGAAATAGCCTAAATGGACTAAGACTAAAAAATATAATTAGAAGAAAACTCCAAAAATAAATACGATTACAAAAAAATGATAAATAATTTATATTTAGAAGGTACTTTTGCAAAAAAAAAAAAGAATTCTTAAAGTTTATTAATTCCACATATAAAATAAAAAATAAAACAAGACGAATATAGTTAAATAAATAAACAAGATATTAAAAAATAAAAATAAATAAATAATAATTCGATAAGCTAAGATAACAAATCAGTTAGTTTGACTTCAGAAATATCGCAATTCGAAACAGAAAAGGAAGTTTTAAAATATAATAGTTTATAATTTTGTAAAAATAATATAAATAATTTAGATTTAAAAGATAAACAAATAAAAATTGAAAGTAGTACAATATCTAATATAAACAAAAATATTTCATGTAAAAATAACTATTTAAGTAATACAACAAATAATGTAAGTAATTATAATAGCAATAATACAAATAATAAATATGATAATAATAATAATAATAATAAATATAATAATAATAATAATAATAATAATAATATTTTAAGTAACAATGATATATCTATATATTATAATCCTTAAATAACATCTAGTTAATAAAAAAAGTTTTTCCTTAAAAATAATTCAACTTAAGAAATAAATATTTAAAACTCTTTGTTTCATTTACCTCAAAAAACCAATAAATTTAATTAGTTTATTAGTAATTTTAAAAACAATTAAATATCTTTATAAGGTGAATTTAATTTAAAAATGAAAAGTTAAATACTTCTACCAAATTAAGAAAAAATAATTATTGAAAATATAATCTTGTAAGAATATGGAACATTGAATTCTTAAGGATTATTATAATGTAAATAATAACTTTTTTATATTTATTTTAATATATAAAATAAAAGCTAATTTTGGTTAAATTAATGAAGCAAAATATATAATTAATGCATAATGGTGGAGATAATGGATTGATTATGTAGGATTAAATAGAGATTTAGATAAATAAAGTAACTCATTCAATACTCTTAGTATAAATGATAGACCATAAAAAATAAGAAATAAAAACTTATTGAAAATCGAATAATTATATAATTTAAAATAAACAAAAAACATAGAGTTAAAGGATAATCTATTAGAATATTATGATTATTTAGCTGTTCCTGTAAAAGTTTTTAATTATTTGAAAATATGGTATGATGTAGATTATGAGATTATAAGATTTTTAAAATATGACCCTTCTTAACCTGGACATAAATAAGTTTATTTAGATCTTTATCCAGGTATTTTTGAAAAAAAAGAAAAAAAAATACTAATTTGTTTTATTTTATTTTTTATAAAAAAAAAGAAAAGATACTTGAAAATTCTTTACCTGTAGGTATTAGGAATCGAAAGTCAAATTAAAGTATAAATTTTAAAGATAAAAAATTTAATAAAACAATGCCTATTAAATATTAAAGTTGCAAAAGTGAAAATGACTAAATTAAAAATACTAAAAATTTTTAAATTAAAAATTAAACATAATAAAATCTATTTAAAAATAATAGCAGTTTATATAATATGGACTTAATTGTAAATTAAAGTAATAATAAATAAATTGAAAATGATTTGCAAAAAAAAAAAGTCATTCATTATAATAAAAAATATAATCAAAAACTGAATTAAAGTCATAAATTTGTATTATTTTTTGATTTTTTTATTAAAATTATTTAATTAATTTTAATATAAAAATAATTAATAATTCTAATCAAAAATAAATATTATTTTCAGTTAAGATAATTTTATTTAAATAATTTTTCTTTTTTTTTATTAATAAAAAAATAATTTAAATATGAAATATGTTTTAAATGTAAATTAAATAATAGTTTAAAAGCATATCATAAAAATGTGTGTGTGTATTCTTTTTTTTTTTTTTCAATAAATTCTTTTAATTGAAATATAATTGCTTTTTTTTATAAATAAAAAAATTTAACTTAACATTTACTTTATTTAATATAAATCTATAATTGATAAAATACTATTATTAAATTCAAATAAAAAAAAAATTAATATAAGATTTAGTGAAAATTGATAAAGCCGAAATAATAAATAACATGTTCTAGTATGTTAGTGCAGTTATTTTTTTATTTAGATATTAAAAATTTAAATAATAAATAAATACTTACGAAAAAACAGTAAATAAATAATTTTTAATTTATATTTATTATAAATAATATATCTAAATTTATATATTTTAATTAAATTAATAATTAAATGCTTCTTTTATCTATAAAATAAAAAATTATTTAATTAATTGTACCATATTTATATTGGTAGCATAATAATAAAATATAATTGTATAATGTTTGCTTCTTATTATAAAAAATCTGTATGGATTATTATATAAATGCTGCGAAATTTCATACAATAATACTTTGAAACAATTTTATTATCCGTTTTACACGTGATTATGTTTTAAATAAAATATCAGTATTGAAAATATTTTAACATTAAATACTTATTAAATATTAATTAATAATAATTAATTTAACAAAATATATATTTTCATATATATTATTGATTTTATTTTTTTAAAAAAGATGTTTTCCATTTTGGTAATTTTTGTGTATAGATGCGTAATATATTCTTTTGAATTTTCATATTAAAGGTCTATACATAATAGACATATGAAACTAAAAAATATAAGACTAAGAGTTATGTATTAATTGTTTCTTTAATAACAAATTTTTTAAAATTATAAATAATATGACATAGGTTTAAAATAAATAAATAAAAATTTATTTTTTTATTTTTATATGATACATTTTAAAATTAAAGCGAATGAGTTACGCTTTTTACTTTATATAGTATTTTTAATTATTAAAATTAAATACAGTATAATTTTATTATTTGTAGAAAGAATTTAAATTAAATCTTAAAATTACAGGCTATAATTAATTTGTAAAGGTATCGAAAACGAATTAAACTAAATTTTTTAATAAAATTAAATCAAAAAAGTTAAAAAAATTAAAATTTAAAACAATTTAATAAAGATTTATTAAAAAAATAAAAATAAAAAAAGATTAAACTTATTTAAAAAGCAAACTATATAATTTAAAAAAAAATATATATATTTTTCACATTTAAACAATTTCATAAGCAAATCCACTCCCATCTTTAGTCCAAGCAGGTGGTAAAAACTTAGGCTACATTACTTAAACAAAATTTTTTCTCCACATCTTAATAAATTCTTTAATATCATGTTCACTTTTAAGTTATTCAACTACATATTTCCCACTTTAATTTTTAAATTCTTTATTACTTGAAATTTTTCCAATTTTTTTAAACTAATCCAATTCTAAACAATACTAAATAAACTTTTCATTAATTTTAACTTCTCCATTTTTATTAATACCAAAATACTCGTCCGAAAAAACTTCGATTTTCCCTTAAATTTCTGGTATACTTTTAAATTAATAGTAGTTTTCCCTCAAAAACTATTTATATTTTTTCCTATTTTCCTTCGGAATCTTATCCTTTTATTACGCGTATCTTTTGACTCCTTTATAGACTTTACAAATTGCATTTTTTATAATATTCGCTGATTCCAACTAATTATCCTAAACAGAGTATTTCTACAAAACATAGGCCTTTAATCTCTCACTATTTTTCCCCGCCTTCTCATGACATTTCAAGCATAACAAAAGAACATCAAACGACCTGTGACTTTTATACTTTACTGGAAAATGCCTTCTATAAAAAGAAGGTACTATATAAAATTTCGTATATTTCTCATCCTAACCACATACTACACATTTATTTTCTCTTTCAGTCTGATAGAAATAATTTTCGCTTTCTATTAACTCTTCTTCTAGTTCACTATGTCCTTTTCCACTAGGATTAAAATTTAATTAAATTACAGAAGGATTGCTTGATACTAATACGGCTAGTTTTTTTTTAGATACCATTGTATTTTTTTTTCGTCGCAATTACATAGTTTTAAACCCGAAGGGGATAAAATTGAACAGTTTCCATAAGCAATTTTCTTCATGCAAAGTTTTTCTTATATAAATTGGGCTTTTTGGAGCTTTTTTTGTTCATTTAATCTTTTTGTGCTTGTTTTTAAAGTATTTTTGTACTTTTTTAATAATATATTTCCAATATTTTTTCTATGTTTTTTTCCAAAAAAACATTGTTATTATTATATATATTTAATTATTCTTTTTTATCTACATTTTATATCTTTATTTATTCTTATTTATCTATATTTATACAGAAATCATACATTTCTTCGTTTAAGAGTACATTATTTATATTTTAATTTGTAGATTGTGCGTAATTTTCTCTTAATTCAGCTATTCCTAGAAATAAGTTTAATATGTTTTCGTTGTAAATATTTTAGCTCTTTTTTTTATAATAGTTTAAATATATTTAATGCTCGAATATTTTCTTTTAAAAAGGCTTTAGAGTTTTTTTTTACATATTATAAATAAAATCTATTGTTTTTTCAAATCCCTGTTTTTCAATCATCTCTTTTAATAATAAATATCTCAATTAAATTAAATAATGTGAATCTAAAGCTGCATAGTCAATCTATTCTTAAGTTAAAGGCCTTTAAGACCAATCAGACAATTAAAGTTCTTTTTTTTTGTTTTATCAATTTAAAAATTACAATATGATTTTATCAAATTAACAAGAGAATTTTCCTTTGTTTTATTCAAATGTATATATATTTCTTTTACATCGAAAAAATTCTTAATTTATAAATTTTCGAAATCTCTTTTTATCCATAATAAGTCAGACTGTCCTGAATAAAATATCTTTATAATGTTTGGATTCTCAAATATATTTAAAAATGTATCCCTTATTAATTTATTATTATTTATTTTTAATATATCTATTATATAATTATAATCCAATGTTGATATTTAAATTAAGCATAAAAATCCTAAATATGCCTATCTAAAACTTTATTCTGTATCTATGCCTTTATATATTATTATAATTATATATTGAATATATATATATATTTTTTTCAACCTAATTAATTGTATTAATTTAATGTTTATACTAAATTTATTAATTAATCAGATGTTTATATAAATATAATCGAATTAGATTTGAATTCTTTCTATACAACTTAATTGTGTTTTAAAAATTCTTATAATGTGTAATTTTATAAATCCAAAATATTTTAGCCTTTATAAATATTATTAAATAAAAATTACATAAATTATAAATTATATCATATCTAATAAAAAATATTTAATTAAATAATAAAAAAGAATTAATAGTAAATAATATATATATATAAATATATATATATATATATATATATATATATTTATATTTATATTTATATATTATTTATTTCTTAAAAAATCTTAAATCTAATTTAAAATTTATATTTTAATCATTATTATTTAAATTTATATATTAAAATATACATTATATTTATTAATTTTAATTATTTTTATATATATTATTTTCTAATTCTATTTTTAATAATTTTTATTCTATAAATTATATATAAAAATTTAGATTTAATTTTATTTTTTATATTGATATCTTTTATAAATTATAGAAAAATAATAAAATCATTTTTTAACAATTATATATATTTATTTTATTTTATATTTTATTTAAAATTAAATTTTTTACTATTAATAATATTAAATTTATTATCTAATTAGTATTATTATATATTTTTTTTAATAAAATTTTAAAATCTTGTTTTTTTTTTTTTTAGATTAATTTTTTTTTTTTTTTATTTTTAGTTTAGTTTTAATTTTATATTTTTTTATTAATATTTTAAATTTTATCAAAATTACAAAGAATAAAAGAATAAAAAAATTTAAATTTTATTATAATAAATTTATTATATATAATTTTTTCAAATTTTTAAATAATATTTAATAAACAATTAAAAAATATTAAAATCTATAATTTTAAATTCAATTAATAAAACTTTTTTAAATAAATTTTAATTATTAATTAGTATAAATAAATATAAATGTTAAATATTTTATTATAAAAAATTTATTTTGTATATTATTTTAATTTTAAATAATATTGTAAAATTATAAATATTAATAATAAAATATTATTTTTTTTAAAATAAAAATAAAAAAAAAATATTTTATAAAATAAATAAAACTATTTTAAACAAAAAAAAAATAACTAAAAAAAAAATAACTAAAAAATGAGTGAAGAAAAAACACAAGAAATTTCTTCAGACTAACCCCCTTAAGTAGTAATAATACCTTAAAAAACAATGAAGAACCCATTAGATGTTGTATAAACAAAAGCAAGTAGATTCGGTAAAGTATAATCATCATATGTAATTCCAAGTGAATCAGATGATACAGAAAGCGAAACAGACCAAAAAGTATCAAATACAAATAATAATTCAGGTATGAGAAGGAAATCTAAAAGTATTAAATTATTGAATCATTCAAAAAATAGTGTAGCGATAGATAATATAAAGAAACAGATGAATTTAGCAAAAATATAATATAATTTAGAAAAAGAAAAAAGTGAATTAAATACATTAAAATTTTTCTAATTTATTTGCTTCCTTGTGAAATTTGGCTTGAATAAAAATGAAGACGAAAATGAATATTTATTTTAGTTTTAAAAAATAGTTCAAAATCTTGAAGAAGAATATGAATAATTTGTGGAGTTTTTTTAATAGAAAAATAAAATTAATTAAAATAATTAAGTATTTTTTTCTTTCTATATTTTTAATATTTAGAAAAAAAAAAAAAAAAAGATTGTAATTGAATGTGTTCTAAAGGCGGAATTTTTAAAAAATAAATTATTTTAAAGCTTTTATAAAAATTAATTTGAATATTAGACTTTAGCAAAAAACCAAATTGATTTTAAAGTTCAAAAAATTTAAGAATTGGAAGAATAACTTATTTATTATTAAATTGGGGGTGAATAATAACCATTGTAGGCCGATAATAATAATTAGTAGTTATTAGATTAAATAAAATATATGTAAATTTCTTATGATAATTTATAGAATGAATTCGATATATTGGATATGAGAAAAAAAGAATTCGATAAATAAGATGCTAGAATTTAAGAATTATTATTAATTATAAATTAAAATAAAGATAATATTAATAATTTTAATTAGGACATACTAAATTAAAATGTTTAATAAAGAATAGAATTAGATAAAAAAATAAAATAATTAACAAAAAATAATAAAGGTTTACTTTTATAAAATAAAGACCTTAAAAAATCGTAAAAATAATATAATTTTCATATTTTTTGTTATTTTTGTTGATTTAAAAAAAAAAAATTTAAAAGTTTATATGTATATGATGAAAATAATAAAAAACTTGAATAAAAATTAGAAATAGAAAAGAAAAATAATAATTTATAAAAAATATTAGAATAATGTGAGAATGAATAATAATAAATATAAAACCTATATGAAGAAATTGAGAAATAGAATATATTAATATTTTAATTGAGAAAAGATAATGAATAATTTGAATAATTTTAATACTTTTAATAATAATATAAAGAAAGTAAATAATAAAATTAAAATTCGGCTAATATTTTAGAAATGGAATGTGAATTTTATAAAAACTAATTGAGTCAATACGAAATTAATATTATATAGGCAAAATCAGGTATTTTAGAGGAAAAAATGATTATTGAAAATCAAAAAACGAAACTTGTGTAGTAATTAGAGAACGCTTTGTAAGAAAAAGAATAATTATTTATTAAAAATTAAAATTTGATTAATGAAAATTCTAATTCGAAAAATATATTTAAAACATTAGAAAAATAACTTAAATAGTAATTTTTTTGTTTGGTTTATTAAATATTTTAATTTTTTTTTATTTAATTTAAGAGCTATTAAAGAAAGAGATTAATTAAAAAAATAAATAGAAACAAAAGAAAAAAAAAGAAGAAGATGATGAGGAAGCACAAAAAGATGATACACAAAAAAAGGAAGAAGAATAAAAAAATAATGAAGAATAACAAAAAAATACAGAAGAATATAAAAAAAAAATTGAAGAATAATAAAAATCTATAGAAGATTTAAAAGAATAAAATGAATAATTTTTATAATAAATAAAAGATTTAAAAAAATAAACTTTACATTTAGAAGAATTACATTAAAATATTATTTTAGAAAATTAATAATTAAAAGAAAATGATGATATTTGTGTTTTAAAAAAATAATTAGATTAATTATAAAATTGTTTAGATGTAAGTTTAAACGAAAAAAATGCTATTGAAAATGAGAATAAAACTATTAGAGATTCTTATAAATTAATTGAAAGGCTTTTTAAGGTTTTTTTTTTTTTTTTTTTTTAATAAGATTAATAAATTAAATTTTAATTTAGAAATCTTTAAAATAAATAGACTAAAAAGATAAATAAATATAAGCTTTAGAATAATAATAAAATAAATAATAATTTAATTAAGAAGATAATAAAAAAGAAAATGAAAATAATAATCAATAAGAGAATTAAATATAGAAAATAAATGAAAAAATATAAAAAAAAAATGAAGAAATTGAAAAAAAATATGAAGTAATATAATAAAAAGGATAAGAAATAGAAAAAATGCTAGAAGAAATAAAAAAGAAAGATTAAGAAATATTAGAAAAAGACTAAGAAATATAAAAAAAAGAATAAGAAATATAAAAAAAAGATGAAGAAATATAAAAATAAGAAGTAGAAATATAAAAAAAAAATCAAGAATTAAAATAAAAATAGGACGATTAAAAATAACTCCAGAAATAAAATGAAAATATGAATTCTAAAATGTCTATAATAAAAGCTGAAAATGAGACATTAAAAAGTTAAGCTAAAAAATAAAAGGAAAATTTATAAAATGAAAATTAATAATTAAATGAAGAAATAAAATAATTAATTCAAGAAAAGAAAACTTTAGAAAAATAAATTGAAAAAATCTAAAATGAAAACAAAGCTGAATTAGAAATGGGAGATTTAGAAAAAAATTTTGAAAATGAAAAAGAAAAATTAGAAAATGAAAAGAATTAAATTATTTAATAGCTAAAAAATATTTAAAATGAAAAGTTTTGTCTATAAATATCTTCAAGTGAACTTATAAAAGAAAATGATTCTTTTAAATCTACTTTTAAAACTTTTTAAAAACATTTTAAGGTATTTTTTAATTTTGTTTAAAATATTTCATTTTTTATTATTAAATAAAAAGAAAACGGTTGAAGAAAATCAAAGATTGAAATAATAATTAAAAGATAAAGAAAATGATAGTTAATAATTAGAATAATAAAGAAATTAATTTAAAGATCTTTAATGGTAATATGAAGAACTTTCATGGTAGTTTTAAGAATATAAAAACGAAATTGAAGAATAAATAAATAATATAAATGAAAATACAGCAGAAAGTAAAGAATTAAATAAAGGATAAAATAAATAAGAAATCAAAATAAAATATAAAATTTAAGAAGAAAAGGAAGAACTGGAAAAATAAAAAGAAAAAATATAAAATGATATGGCTTAAATATAAAAAGAAAACAAATCTTTTAAAATGACTTATAAAAACATAGAAAAAGAATTCAAAAAAACCGTTAAAGAATTAGATTTTTGTAATTAATAAATGTATCTTTTAGGTTATTTTTTTTATTTAATTTATATATATATATATATATAAATACATTTTTTTTTTATAGAGGAAAAACTAAAATAAAAGGAAGAGATTTTATAATAATAAATAGAAATATTAAAAGAATAATAAAATTAAATTTAATATTTAGAAAATGAAAATAAAGAGTTAAATAAGTATTAAAAAGGAAAGAATAAAATTGAAGAAGAAGAATAAAAAATAAAAGAAATGAACTTTTAGTAATAATTAATTTAATTAAAATAAGAAAAACATGAATTGGAATAAGAAAAGAGTTTTTTATTAAAATAAAAAAGTGAATTTAATCAATAAATAATAGAATATTAATAAAAAGAATTTTAATTATAATATAAAATGAAAGATTTAGAAAATTAAAGTGAGGAATTTGCGAAAAAAAAATTAAAACTAAATGAAAAAATAAAGTAGAAAAAAATTTAAATCGAGAAAGAAAAAGATGAGCTTTACAAAAAAAAATAAGAAAAAGATATTTTTATAAAAGAAAATGAAAGTTTTTCAAAATAATTAATTTTAAGTCAAAACTAAGTTTTTGATGAAAAATTGAATTCCTTTTTGAAAAATTTCTAAGATTTTTTTGTATAAAGTTTAAAGCATTAATCTTGTTTTTAAGTAAAAGAAAAAACAATCTAAGAATTCGAAAAAAAAATTGGAGAATAAGAAGAAAAAATTTAATAAAAAAATTAATAAATTGAAGAACTTCTGTCATAAATTAATTCTTAAAATTAAGAAGTAAATAATTAGTTTATATAAATTAAAGAACTTTAGAATAAAAATAAGGCTTTATAAGATTAAATTAATAATAATTAAGAAGAAAGGTTATTTTAAAGTTAATATTAATAGAAAAAAAACATGTCTTCAATATAAAATATTAATAAAAAGAATGTTTAGAAAAATGTAGGAGAATAAAAAAATATTAAAGATATGATTAATTATTTCTAATTAGTAATGTCTTAATAAAATAATTAAAATAAATAATAACAATAACAATAAAATGTATAATAATGTAAAAATATATAATAATAGCAAGATTCGTAACTAATAAGCCAAAATATTAATAAAGGAGATAATAATTAAAATGATAAACAAAATAAACCTTCTAGTTAAATATTAAATTTAACTTCTTTGATTACATAAAAGGAAGAGGAATTATAATAAATTAAGAAAAGTTTATAAATTAAATAATAAAATTATAATAATATAGAAAAGGTAAAAATTATGTTAAAAATAAAATGTTTTAAATTATTTTTTAAATAATTATAAAAAAGTAAAATACAGAACCTAATTATTAAGATAACATTCAAAAAAAATACAAATATTAATAGCATGAACTTACAAAGTCATTAGAAATAAAACCTTAGAAAATCAATTAAATATAATATAGTCAGTACTAATAATAGAATTAACCATTATATTAGGGTGATTTATTAGGAAAACAGAGAAACGGAGTTGGAAGATAAATATATGAAAATGGTGAAATATATGAAGGAGAATGGAAATTTGATTAAAGAAGTGGCTATGGTATATTGAAAGATAGATTTGGAATTGATATTTATAATGGTGAATGGGTAAATAATTTATATAATGGAGTGGGAAGATTAAGAAACTAAAATATTTGTTATAATACTAATATATAAGGAGTAGATATTGATTTAAAGTAAATTTTTAAGCAATGGTAATTTTATAGTGGATAATTTAAGAATGGATAAATGCATGGATAAGGAACTTTAATAATTTATGGAAATTATAAATTTATAGGAATGTTTTAAAATGGAAATGTTTAAGGAGAAGGGATTCTATTAAAAAATAATTTCGAAATTATTAAAGGAGTATGGGATATATATGAAATTAAATGAAATTTTTTAATAATTTATATATATATATATATATATATATATATATATATATTTATATATATATATTATTAAAAATTTGATATTAAATAATTATTTATATTATATTTTGTTCATTATTTAATATTTGAATTCTAATAAAAATCTATACCTTAAAAAAATTAATGATTTATGGCTTGGTTTGCGGATATTCTTTTTACAGGATCTGCTTCAATCATCCTAAATAACAAATCTGCTGCCATAACATCAAATTCGCAAATTTTTTCTATAAAAAACTTTTTATTAGAAGGAAATCTAGGAAATTTACTTAACCAATTAAGTTTATATTTTCCAGCTAAAAATATTATAATATAGCTTTATAATTTTCTATTAAATTACCTATTTAAAAACTATCTGGTGTCCCTAACAATTAGAAAATTTTTATTAAAATATCTATTTCATAATATCCTGTAAATAAGATCTCTCCTGTAATAAGTTCATAAAAAATACAGCCTATAGACCATATATCAATAGGAAGAGAATACAGATTATCTTTCAAAAGTAACTCAGGAGCTCTATAATTTAATGTTTGGACTTCTAAAGTAACTGTAGTTATAGGGATTTCATAAAATCTTGCTAAACCAAAATCTGCTAATTTTAATTCTCCTTTTTAAGATATTAATATGTTTTAAGGCTTTATATCTCGATGAAATACACGTTATCTATGACAATAGTCTACTGATCTTAATATTTGATGCATATAGGACTTTTTTTATTTTCACTTTTTTAATATTTAGTGTTGTTTTTACTTTTATTGTGTTTTTGGGATATCTTCTGGCTGAATGCTTCAAGTGTTTTATTTCTTTAGATAAGTCGTTTTCCATATATTCTAGTATTATATAAAGTTTAGGTTTTTCTACTTAGTATTAAATTTCAACAATTCTTTTTTTTTTTTTTTAATTAATATATAACATATTTGTTTTTTTGTTTTATTTTTTACTTTATAATATTAGAATGGTCTAGAGCTTTCAGACAACTAATTTCTCTTAAAGCTGTGGAAGGTATTCCTTAATTTCTTTGTTGATCATCTTTCATTTTTATCTTTTTTATTGCCACAAATTGTTTTGTTTAAAGGTTTTAGGCTTTAAAAACTTTACCATATGTTCCTTCACCTAATAATTCTAATATTTCATAAGCACCTTATTAGTTTTCTTATTTCATTTTTTTTTTTACTTTTTTTTATATATTTTTTTTATTTAAGCTTAAATTTTTAGTATAAATTTTTAATTTATTGCAAAATAATTGAATTTTTTGTTATTTTATATAAATTAAAATATTAAGAGTTTAATAAATAAAAAATTTTGAAATCAATTTATAATTATTAGTTTATAAATTAATAATTATTTTATTTATATAAAGTAAAAATTTTTATAGTAATAATTTAATTTATTTATTTTAAATTTAAGAAAAATGTGTAAAATTTATTTACAAATTATCAAATTATGTTATTTATTAGTTTTATTTGAAATTAAAAAAAATAAATTAAAAACATAAAATAATTTTCATTTAATATTATAAAGATTAATTAAAAAAAGTTTCATTAATTTTTATTGTATGAAATTTTATTTATTGAAGGAAGTAACAATATATTTGATTATTATTTTTAATTTACTTAAATATGAGGTTATTATAATTATAAGTTTTTTTAATCAACCTATTTTGATATGTTATTTATACTTTTTTAAAAACAAATAGAATCTAAAGATGCTATTGGTAAAATTTTCTTTTTTTATAAACTACTTTATTCTTGTTTTTTTTGTTATATTTTTTGAATATTATCATTAACAAAAGTATAATCATTTAATCTATTATTTTTTTAATCTGAATTAAAATTTTTCTATGGAGTTAATTAATTATAATTTTCTATAAGTCCTTCTCCTACAAATATACTTTTATTTTAAAATGGTAATTTTTAATCATTTCTTTAATCAATTTTCAATTATTTTTGTGTAATCAATTTTTTTGGAGAAACTAAATTTCCATATTATAAAAACTTTGGATCGATTATTAAATAAGATTTATTTTATTATAAATTAATTTTAAATATTTTATTGCTTATTTCTTAATTAGTTAATATCTATTTTATTTTTTTAAATAAAAAATATATATTTATTTGTTTTTCTATTATACTTTATGTATGAAAAAAGAACTTAATAAACAAAATAATTAACATTCTTCTTTTTAATTATTTAATGCATCATATTGTCTATTCTAAAAATAATAATAAAAATAAAATAGTATTTTATAGATTAAAATTAATATTAACCTTGCTTTAAATTATTTCATCTTATCCAAAATAATCGAAACAGGAAAATAAATTTAACTATAGTATATTAATTAAATAAATAAAAAAAAAAACTTATTATATGTTTTGTTGATTATAATATGATTAATCTTCTTCAAAATTTATAAGGCTTTTAGCTTTATTATTAAATAAGATTTATTTTTATAATAAAAATTATTTGCTTGATTTTTATATCTTATAAAATATAAAATATATAAAAAAGAAATATATATATATATGTGTAAAAATTTATATATATATATTAAAAAATAAAATTATATGTATATATATTTAAAAATTAATATATAATATTTATATAAATATAAATATAAAAATAAATATAAATATAAATATAAATATATATATATATATATTTTATATTTAAATTTTTATTTATAATTTATATATTAATAATTTTATATTTAATTAATTTTAATATATATTTTATATATTGCTTTAATATTTTACTTATATTTATCCTTTTTTTACAATATAAAATAAATTAGCTTTATCACCCTCTTTGTATAAATAATCTCCTTATTTAAGAGTTATAATTTAAGAGTTTTCGAATAAACTTCTTACAAATTAAAGATCACTATCTTCTAATAATTTTGAATTTTGTAAAAAATTAACTTCCTATTCTATTTATTCTTCTATAATACTTCCCAAATTTTTAATAAAATTTCTTTTGCTTATTAAAATAATTTAACTTTTCTCTTGTGCAATAGCTGTTTTTTAATATGTTTCATAAAATAAGCAATCATGAGTCCCAAAATCTTAACCTTAAAGTATTTTTTTAAATACTACTCGTTTATTTTATTCAATTTCTTCATATATATTTACAGATCCATTTATTAATACATATACATTTGTAACTTCTTATTCTTTTTGTTTATTTAATAATTTTATTTTTTTAAAAAAATTATAATTACCTTTTTAATATATGCATTCTTAAGGTTCTACATCTAAAATTCTAATTCTTTAGGAAAGCCTTTATAATATATACACTGGAAATTATTAGAAAAATATAAGTTTTATATTTAATTTAATATATCATTATTATTTAAATTTATTTCTTAATTCTATTTTTTTTTTATTATTATTTTTAAATAATCTATATATGAATTATAATTTCATATTTTTTTATTTATAATAAAATTTTATTGACAAATTTTAAGTTATTACGTATAATTATAAAAATTGATAAAAAAAATATAATCATTAAATTACTATATTTTTAGTTATTTTTAAAATAATTTAAGGAATTTTACAAAAAAATTAATAACAGATACAAATATAAATATTTAATTTGAAAAAAAATATATATAATCTATTATATTTATAATATTTTTTTAATTAATTATTTTTTATAATGATAAATACTATATTTTAATTTATATTTTAACATTTATATAATATAAATTTAATTCTTTTATATTTTTTTTTTTATTTATGATTATTTTATTTTTATTTTATATATTATATTTAATACAAACTAAAAATATAATATAAAAATGTCACAAATTAAAATTAGAATTACAAATTTTAATGATCATTAAATAAAAATAAATAATTCAGAAATATTAGAAAAAATACAATATTTTTAATAGTAAATAACTAAAGAACTCATAAATGAGCTAGAAATACCATAAATTCTAATAAAAATAAAAGAAATTTAATAATTATTAACAAGTTTATATAACTAATTAATAGACACAATACAATAAAACTAAAAAAAACAAATAAAACTAGAAAACGTAAAAATATATTAATAATAATAATCCACACCTTTGTATTAAAGATCATCTTTTTCTTAACATGAATTGAAAGTATAAAAAAGTCCAATATTAAATATAGAAAATAAAGAATTATAAAATTTAAAAGTTTAAAATCTAATTTATTAATTAAAAAATTAAATAAATTATAAATAAAATGATTTATAATCAAAATAATAAAACTAGAAAACATTTAGTAGCTAAATAATAAATAATTGTTAAAGTTTTAATCAATTAAAAGATAAATAAAATAATTAAATTAAACAATATTAATTTAATTTATATAATACTTATTTTCTTTAAACTAAAAAATTAAAATAATTAAATAATGAGGCTAATAATAAGAATAAACTCCATTTTTTAAGTAGCGTTTAGTTTTTAAATAAAAATTAGGAAACTTCAACTTAAAATTAAGAAAACTTAATTTAAAATTAGGAAAATTCAACTTAAAATTAAGAAAATTTAACTTAAAATAAATAAAATAATAATAAAACTGTTAATTTCGAAATAAATCAAAATATGGATTAATAAACAGGATTGTTACAAAATTTTCATTTATGTAAAAAATTAGGTAATGGAAGATTTTCTGAAGTACATTTAGTAATGTATGAATAATATATTTTTTTATTTATAATTAATATATTATTATTATTATTATTATTATTTTTTTAAAAAAAAGAGATAAAAAAACAGGAATCATGTTAGCATTGAAAATAATTAAACTAGAAATTATAAAAAAATATAATTTATATTAAGATATAGCAAATGAAATAAAGATATAATTATGTTTGAATCATCCAAATATAACAAAACTGTATGGATTTTTTATCGAGAATCAAAATATATATTTAATTCAAGAATATGTTGATGGAATAGAAATGTATATAGACCTAAAATAATAACATTTTAAAAGATATAATGAATAAATAGCATCTTAATATATAAAATAATTATTAGAAGTATTAATATATATGCGTTCTCATTAAATAGTACATAGAGATATAAAACCTGAAAATATAATAGTCTATAATGGAGTATTAAAATTATGTGATTTCGGTTATGCAACTATAGTATAAAATGATTAAATGCATTAAACATTTTGTGGAACTCTAGATTATATAGCACCTGAAATGAAAAATGGATAAAAATATGATTTTTCAATTGATATTTGGTGTCTTGGGATTTTAACTTACGAAATTATTTTTGGAATTGCACCTTTTAAAAATAATAATTAAGTATTAAAGTTTATAGGGCCGATTTCTTTTTAAGCTGCTGATTTTATTGAGAAAATTTTAGTTAAGGATGTTAATTAAAGGATTTTGCTTAGTGATGCTTATTAACATCCTTTTATTTTAAATAATAATAATAATTAACTTATTAATAAATAAAATAATTAAATTATAGATGATAGGGATTTTCGACTTTTGAACTAAAAATGAAATGTATTATTATGTTTTTTTATAATAATTTTATTATTATTATTTTCTTCTTAATTTTCTCTTAATTTTATATATATATTTACATGTTATTTTTATTTTTGTTTTTTGGTTTAAAAAAATATCAAATTGAAAATATAATTCCTTATAAAATAAAACTAATATACATAGGAATTTAAAATCTGTTTAAATATATATTTTTTAATTAAAAATTAAAATATTTACAATATTTGCATTATGTTTTTTTATTTTCTTGAATATTATGTAATATATTAATTTAAGAATGCTATAATTCAAGCTTTTTTTATTTCATTATTATTTTTCTAGATTAAATATTAAATTTCTTTATTTTACTTTAAATTAATAATTTCATTTTTTGATTCTTATTTTTCAATTTATTAAAAATCTAAGCATTATACATTTTTAAAATTATTATAAATTTAAGTACTATATTTTTTAATGTAAAGCAACTTTAATAGCTAATATTTATGTATAAACTATTTTACGAACCAAAATTATTGTAGGGATTTGAATTTAAAGTATTTAAATTTAAAATTTGGTGGGAGTTGTTTATTCATAATTATAATATTAATTTGAAATTATAGTAGATTTATTATCTTAATTTTATTTATTAAATCATCTACTTAATTTAAATATTCATTTTATTAAATTTTAAAATTAAAATCTAAAGTTACTACTAATATTGCTTATTCAATAATATTTTTTTTATTGAATAAATTAATCTTTTTTTATAAATAAAATAAGTTTTAAATACAAAAAAAATTACTAATATTTTTTTTTATTTTAATGTTTATTTTGTCCTTTCAAATATCTAAATTTAAATTCTATCATTTAATCTTAATTTTAAATCTTACTTTAAAAGATAGAAAAAAAATATATATATCATTTTTATAAGAAATAAAAAGTATATAAATAATACATCTTTAATTTCTAATTATACTTGTAAAATAATTTTTTATTAAGGATTTATTTATCCTCATTAGAAATTTATTACAAAATAGTTTATTGAAGTTGCTAAGACCTTTTCTTTAAAATATACCATAGTTATATATATTTAATTTTTATTAAAATTTACTTTAAAAAATTTAATAGATTAATATTTATTTTAAATTAATATTTCTCCTTATATGTTATTTTATCCAAGATAATAAAATATGATTTTGATTTTAGGAAAAATAATTATTTATTGGCTATAAAAATTTAAATATGTTATTATTAATTAAATATAACGATTAGTATTTTTTCGATGTTTAAATAAACTTAATACAATGTTTATAGATTTTATTTTAAATATATTTAATTATTTTAAATTAACTATTTTCTAAGTACATTTATTATTTAAAGATTATAATTTAATATAAATAGGATTAAAATGTATTATATATGATTTTTTTTGAATTCAGTCTAAAAAGAAACATAAAGTTTATTATATACAAAATATATTTATTAAAAATAATGTATTATTAATATAAACTAAAATATAAAATATACAAGTTACACTTATATAATATATAAATATTTTTTTATAAAAAATATTTTAATTTTTATAAAAGTAAATATATATGCATGTATTTAATATGATATAAAAAATTTAAAATAAATCAATATAATTCTTATTAAATTTCCAAAATTTTTTAAAAAAGTTCATCTATTATTTATTAATTTGATTTTAAAATATTTTCATTTTTAAAAAATTTGTCTATAAAGATAGGTATACATAAGTCATTTAATTTATAATCTAAATAAAATATAAAAAAAGTATTATTATATATTTATATATTTATATATTATATATATTTATATATTTTTATATATATATTTTTATATATATATTTATTTATTTATTTATTTATTTTTTACATGCTGTAATTGATTTATCAATTATTTTACCGAATTTTAATTTGCTTATTTTTACAATTAATATATTTAAATTGTTTTCTTTTTCAACATTTTATTTAAATTATATTTATTAAATATTTTATTGTTGCTTCAATTATTATATTTAATAAATTAACTAATTTTATTATGTATTTAAATTTCTTTTTTTATTATAATTTTATTTACAATTTATATAAAATATATTTTTACTCTATTTCTTCTTAATGTTGATTAATTTTATTATTTATTTCAGAATTTTCCTATAAAAGTTTATTATTAGTATCAATTATTATTTAATTTTAGGAATCTATTTCTTAAATTTATTATTCAAATTAATTATTTTAAACAATACAAACTAATATTATTATTGTTTCATTTTTTTTGTATTTTATATTTATTACCTTTTAATTGATTCGATTAAATTTATTATATTTATTTTATTTTTTAAAATAATTAATTTTTTTCATGTTTTATGTCCCTAGATAATTATAATTCTTTATTCATATTAAATATTTCATCATAATTTTTCTTTTAATTCGATTTCGATATACTATTCTATAATTTTTAAATACTATTTTACATTTTTTTTAATTTTTTAAATAAAATTTTAAAAATGCGGTTTTAGTCTTTCCTATAATAATTAATTCACTTAAATAAAAATATAATAATCAAAAATTATAAAGAAAATTTAACAAAAATATATATTTGAAAAAACTAAATATAATTATATATAATATTTCAATAATATTAAAAAACAAAAAAACTTTTAATAGAAATATATTTTTTAAAAAAATAATATATTATATAATTTAATCAATCATTATATTTTTTTTTAAGTTTGTTTATTTAAGGTTATTATTTTTATTTATTAAAATAATTTTGATCTTTATATGCACCATCACGTACTGAAAAATCGAATTATTTTTTATTTTTCTCATCTTCACTTCCACTCATTCCTTCTTATTTATCTATTTTTTTAGTCAATTAATTTTTCTGTATAGGAATCTATTTTTATGATTGTTAATCATTTTTATTTTGGTATCCTTAGTTTAATTTTTTATCTTTTTCATAAGGGTAATTTTTTTATGTTTATTTATCTCTATCTTATTTATTATTATAATTTGCTTTCTAATATTACTATTATGGTTATTATTATGATTATTATTATTGTTAATTAGCATTAGTATTTTAATTTTTTTATTGTTTGTCATTATTTTATTAATTATTACTGTTGAAGCTTTATTTAGAAAAATTATAATTACCTTTATTAGGCACTCTTTTTCTTGTAAATACAAAATTATTTTAATTTCTATTTTATCTTCCATCATCTAAACCTTCATCTAATTATTTTTTATTTCCATTTTCATCATATTCTATTTCTTCGATTTAATCTTCAATATCTTTTATTTCTTATTCTTAATTAGCGCTTGCTTGTGGTTAGAAATAATTATAACTATCATCAGGTTCATCGTCATATTCCATAGCTAATAGAATAGTCTTTTAATTATATTATTGTTATTATTCTTCTGACATTTTTAAATTAATTGTTTAAGCCCTATTATATTATATTTTATTTTATTTAAAAAAATAAAATATTAAAATTAAATTTACCCTTTTCTATACCAAGTTAACATTTCTTGTTTTTCTTCCATTTTATTAATTCCTTCTTGTATTTATTATTCTTCTTTTATTTTTTGTTCTTCTTCGTCTTTTTTCTTTTAGAACTCTTCCTATCTTTTTTTTTTCTCTTCTTATTTAATTAGATCTTCAGTAATAACTTATTCCACAAACTTAACATCTGGAATTTCGTTTCCTTCTAATTCAACAACTTATGAATATCCGTCTTAATACATTTTTTTTTATTCTTCAAAAAGAAGAATTTTCCTTTTCCTTTCATCAATAACAGATAAAACCTAAATTTTAAACATTTAAAAAACTTCAGTATTATCTTCCGGGACAGCCTAAAATAATTTATTAAAGTCCACAAAATCACTTACATATTCAACTAAATACCAATATCGATTTTCTCCTTGTTTTTTTCCCAAACTTTATATTTTTCCTAAATCTTTTAAGTATTTATTCCATTAGGATTTAACTTTTTATGCCACGTTTGTTTTTTGTAGAGTTTTATCGGAAAATACCTCAATCATAAAATTAAAATAAATAGTAAAAAATTTCACAAAATTCTATAATACAGCATCTATTAGTAAAAATAAATCGGCTCTATATTTTCCCATTACCCATGATTCTTCTCTGGCAAAAATTAACTCGTACATTAAATTTTCCATTAAAATATTTATCTTTTCGTCTGATAATAACTTATGCTTATATTCTTCTGGGAAATACTATATTATATTCAATATAGAACTAGAGTTATCTAATAAAAAGGCTAATATTTCCACTTTTCTTTCTATGTCACTTTCTAGAATTTCACAACTGGTGGAACCTAGTTTGTCTTTTTTTTTAAATTAAGCATTTCTTTATAGGCTTTGTCAAGAAAATCCTTTACTAATTTTTCTTATAATTAGTTAAAATCATGATTGAAGTATTATTGTATGTTGAAGGCTTTTTTTATTATCTTTTTTATTAGTTCTCCATTTTCAGATCCATAAATATCAATTAAATCAATCATTTTTGGTAAATCAATTAACCATTCATCTAAAATAATTTAAGGACAATTAAAATCATTTGATTATTGATTATTTTCTTCCTCACAACTTACTATTCGGTAAAATATTGTAAGTACTAGTCTATATATTTCTTTGAAGATTCCAGCGGCTTCAGAATGATCTTCTTTTTAGGGAAATTAGGTGTCTTTTCTAATATAATCATTAAATTTTTACTTATTTGAATACATTAAAAATGAATTCAAACTTCTTCGCAAAAATACGTTGTGTTTTAATGTGCTCCAAAAATTTCGGAATGGTAAAGTTAATACATGCTTATATTAAGAACAGATACGTTTTATTATAAAAATTAATTCTGGATTGTCTTCATTGCTGTTATTGGGAAAATCTTCGAATGTCCAACTAAAAAAACTCGTTTCGTCCATCTCTTCTCGATAGAGAAAATCTGTGTTTTTTGTTGCTTTACCTTTTGTATCTTGGTATTGTTAATTGTATTATTTTTTGTGTTTTTTGTTCATATTTTTTTTTTGTTATTTTTCCTTTTATTTTTATAATATTTTTTGTGATTTATGTCTTTCTTTCTTTTATATTTTTATAGATATTTAACCTTTTAATTTGTATAAAAAAATATTCTTATAAATAATATTTATTTTATATTATAATAATTAAAATAATTTTTTTTTTTAATTATTTTATTAGATAATATTATATAATAATATTTAATTTATATTTTATTATTTAAGAAAATTGAATTATATATCATTTCTTTATTAAAATTCTTATTTTTTTAAATTATTTAGCAAAAACTTTTTGTCTAAAAAATAATACTTTTTATTTTTATATAAGTTAGTAATAATTATTTTTTTATATAAAAACTATTAAATTTAAATGATTTTAATATTATAAGCACATATTTTTTAAAATTTTAAAAAAAAATTTTTAAACGATATAAGAAAAATAAATATAAATAAAAATATTAAATTCAAAACTTATAAATAAAACTTATTTTTCTAAATGTAATCAAAATGTTTTAACTTTTAAAATGAAGAGAACATAATTTAACTACTGGAGTAATTACTATAATATTTTATAAAACATTATTTAAAAAATATTTTTTTATTTTAATATAGATATTGTTATAAAAACAAAAAAAACAAACAATAAATTTTTCATTAATTATATGAAAAAGATATACAATAACTTTTATTTAATTTAGAAAATTAATAATATGAAAGTACAAGGAAATAATAAATGGCAAATAATATAATTTTTTTATTTTTTTTAAAAAAAAGAATTAAGAAAAGCATCAGCTCGTTTAATATGTGAGTTATTATATGAAAACAATAAAAATATTTTAAGGTTTTGCAAATATTAAAACGTGAATATGTCGAAAGGAGGGGTATTCTAAAAAAATAATAATAAAGTTATTATATATTTAAAAAAGATTTGTATTAATTAAATACCTGTAAGCTTAATAGAAATGATAAATAAGAATCCATATATAATCGATAAGATGCAAATACAAAATAATTTTAATAAAAATTAAATTCCTTTATGTTGGTATATAGGTTTTTAGTTAGAAATTTAACCGAATTATTATTATAATAAAGAAAATATGTAAATAAATTAATTAATTGATGATTTTATTGATCCTTTATACTGTTTATTTGGAATATGTATATAAAATGAGTAAGAAATAATATAGTAAAATATTTATTTAAATAAATAAAATTAATAAAATACTACCTAATAAGCAATTATTAATTTAAAAAATTAAGAAAATGAAACAAAAAATATTAATAATTAAAATATAAAATAAAGTATTTTTTTTTAAATAAAAATATTATTTTTTTTTTAAATAAATTTTAAAAAAAAGTTTTAAAATAAAATAAAAATTTAACCGATTTTTCTTAATTTTAAAACTCGAGAAATCAAAAAATATAAAGTTATTAATTTTAAAAATATAAAAAGCCATATAAATAAAATTTTGTTAATTCAAATAATCGAGTTCCTTTATAAGAAATAAATTTATAAGAAAATCCAGCATTCTAAACTTCAAGAAATACCTCTTAAATATAATCATAAAATAGTTTTAGTGTTTATTAAACAAATCATTGTGAAAATAATTAAGAAGCTTTTTTTGAAAAAAAAAATAGTACTAAAGAAAATTTATTTAAATAACATTAATAAATCGAAAATATAAAGGAAAAAATATAAATATAATAATAATAATAATAAATAAATAAACATTAAAATAATTTAATTAAAAGCGAAATGCTTAATTATTGTAGAATTTCAACTAATACAATTTAATAATCTATTGAAAATCTATTTTAAAGTAATTAGAAATTAAATAATTAAGAAAATTTAATAAGTTTTCCTTAAGTAAGTACTTTAAAAAAGGAAACTTATGAAACTAATAATAGTATTGGTAATAAAAGTAATCGTTAATAAAATAAACTTTATTAAAAATGTTATATAGATAATTATTATTGTGATACAAGCAAAAAAAGATAAATTAATAATTTTGGGAATTTAATAGATAAAAAAAAAAAAGAGAATATATAAAAATATAGCAGAAATATATTTTCTCCTGAATCGAAAAATCGAACTAAAACTATAAATTTTAACCTTTCTAAAGGAATTAATAAGACTAATTTGCTTAGTTTGTAAAATAGTATTAATTTTGCTGAAAAATATAAGTATTTTTTATTTATTTATATTTATTTATTTTTTAAAAATGAATAGTAATTCATAAGAATTTAATGATAAAAGTTCTTTTTATAAAAATAATAATGAATTAAATAAGAATAATAATAAGTAATTTAAAAGATATTATATATAATTAGTTTATAATTACATACTACAAAATACATTAATTTGTTGAAAATTAAAAAACTATATTTATATATTATATATATGTTTAAATAAAAATTATCATAAATTATTTACTTCTTTAAAAATTTTTTATAAAAAAATAAAGAGAATCAATAGACAAGAAAACAAATTATGAATTAGATTTAACGAACAATAATTATTAATAACTTAATAATAAATAACAGCAAATTAAAATTTTTGAGAAAAACGATTTATATAATAGTTTTGAATTTGGTTCTATTAAAAATTTAATCGATTTATCGCCCTAATATTATTCTATATAAAATGGTTAAAATGATTAAAATGTTAAAATAAAAAGCATTTAAACTACTAAAGGCGAATAATTAAAAAAGGAAAATACAGAAAATAATAATGAGATTAATATAGAAATGATTTAAAGAAAATCTCATGATCCTTCATTAGGAAATTATTTAGTCAATGATTAAAAATGCAACTCTTAAGATTTTTAAAAGCATTTATATACTGAAATAAGCAATTCTAAATATAATATATATAATTAAAACTTTTAGAAATAATAATAAAATAGAAAATTTAATTAAAATAATTAATAATTTTTTAAATTATCCGGTAATGATAATTAATAATTTAGAGTTAATACTCAGATTAGAGCTAATAATTAAAAATTTGTGCAAAGAATAGACTTTAAATAAAGTATAATTGAAAAAAACTATTTTTGATTTATTATTTTATATAATTTTTATAAGAATATATATATTTTAAAAATATTATTTTATTTGAAAAAAAAAAATCGATATGCAAAGAAATTAATGAAAAAATAAAAAAGAAATAATAAAAGATTATTAAATAATAAATTAAAATATTTATTTAAACAAAAAAACAAAAAAATTAATCGTTTCTTTTTTTTTTTTTATAAAAATATTAAATATAATTTTTATATTTTTTACAGATAATACAAAAAAAGTAAAGTAAAATAAAATAATTATTTAAAATGGATAAAACAGAAAAAGTAGCATATGAAGCATCCCTTATCTAATATATAGAAAAGAATTAATTACCAGATTTGATTGAATAATATACAAAATAACTAATTCTAAATTAGCCAGAAGATCCAATCTAATTCTTAATAAATTATATTCAAAACAAGAAAAATCAGCGTTTAATATTTATAACAGGTTCTCTTTAAAATAAAAGATATGTAATAGTTGAATAAGTATGTAATTCATTATATTACGAATAAATAAAACTTAAAGATGACCACTTATTAAAATAAACTAAATCAGAAATAGTAAATCAATAAGTAAAACAATAATTATAAAAAGTAGGTTCGCATTTCAGAGGGGTAATAGTAAATGGATATCCTTTCAATTTCGAAACCTCGATTTTTGCTTAATGGAATGGACTTATTCCTGATAGAGTTATTATTTTGGAAAATTCCGAAGAAGACTCAAGAAATTATTACAGTCAGAAATTTTAATAAGATGAGAAAAGTATTGTTTAATCAATGAAAAGAGATGAAATTTTCCTTTAAGAAATCAAAAGAATGTATAATAGTTTTTATGATACTTTTAATATTTCGAATATCCCTAAATCAAATATAGTTGAAAATATTAAATCTATTCTTAAACTTAAAGACAAAAGAGTTTAACCCTTAAGGTATTTTTATTTATATATATATATATATATATTTATAAGTATTTTTTTAGGTCTCCTAGAATCTTTATTGTAAGACCTCCCCATTTGAAAGTTAGAGCAAGATAAATATAAAGTTTATTAGTATAAAAATATGGATTTAATCAAATTTAAGTTTATGATTTGTTAAATAAGCATATTGAATTGAAAACACATGTCGGAAAGTTTATTTATGGGGCTCTTTCTAACCATAGATAAGTACCTGATGATATAATTTTGGGTTTGGTTAGAACGGAAATATTAAATACTAGTTCTAAGTAAAAAGGTTATATTTTAGAAGGTTTTCCTAAAAGTATTTTTTTTTTTTTTTATAATGTTAATATATAAAAATTAAAAAGGTAAGAATTAAGTTAATTGTTTTAGTAGTTATGAAATTAATCCTCATTTTATTATTATTTTAGATTATGATGATAATGAATTATTAAATTAGTTTAAGTAGTTGAAATTTGATGATAAAAATAATAGATTTTATGAGAATAATGACACTTTTTTGGAAAAAATTCCTTATATGTTGAAACAAAATGATTTTGATGAAGATAAATGGAAAGAATAGATTTAATCATATAGAGATATTATTTCTTCGGTTGAAGATAAATTTGATACAAAAGCTCAAAAATATAATTTAAGTGTAGAAAGTAATGAGAAAATTATTCAATCAGTTGATAGTTTTTTAAATAATTCTGATATTTATTCATGAAATCTTCTTTTTTTTTTAATTTATATGATTTTTTTTTTATAATCTGTATTTTTTTTTATTATTATTAAAAGATTAAAGTTTTTTTTATAAATTTATTTAATAAATATTAAATATAGATATTTTTTTTATTATTAAAAACAAAAAAAAAGAATAACAACAAATTCATTTTTACTTTTTACATAAAATAATATTATAATTAATAAAAGTTATTGTTAATAAAATTTATAACAAAAATTAAGCTTATTTTTTCAAAATAAACCTCCAAAAACTCCTTTTTTTACAGGCACTTATTGTTGATATAATTAGATTAATTCAGTTTTTTATTATTCATTAAACTCAAGTAAATTAAACAAAATTTATAAAAGTTACTAAGCTTCTTAGTATTATTGTTATTATTTTCTATTTTTTTTATTTAAATAATATTATAATATATAATTTATTATGTATTTTTTTTAAATATACTATTTATTAAAGAATGCTCTATAGAACTTGATAAAATTATCTTTTATAGCTTAGTTTTAATGTTACACAACATTATCTTTCAATTGTTTTTCTTATTCAAGGTTTTTCTTTTTAAGTAAACCAATCTTTTTTAAATTTAAATAATTAATTTGATTTTAATTATTTAATAAAAAAATACTTGATTTTAAAACTTTTATTCCGTTTCATCAAAATCTTCGATTTCTTAATTTAATTCATTAATTTTTTATTTTAATTATTCGATTTCTTATTTTAAAACATTCATTTCTGAAGGATTACTTGGATTTTATATTTAAACAGAATAAAAGGATAAAATATTTCTTTTAAGATCCTCATTTTCATTTTATAAATAATCCATTTTTTTCTTAGTACTTATTAATTACTAATAAACAAAAAATAATTAAATAAAATAATAATATAAAAAATTACTTCATTTAATGATTTAATTTCATAATCATATTTTTCTTTGATATTTTATTCAATTTACATAGATGATATTTATTATTATAGGATATTGTTTTCTTTTTAAACATTAATAGCATTTTAGTCTTATATATACTCTTAAGAAAAGAAAGCTTAATTTCCAATAGAATGTTCATTTTTTTCAATTTCATTATGAATAGAGGATAATTCAATAGATTATTCTTCTTATTATTCCTTATAATTTACATTTATAATATTATTATTTTCCTTTATTTAATTTATCATGGTTTTTATATTTTAAGTGATTTCTTCTATGTATTTTTCTATTGAAAAACGATTCGAATTTATTATATATTAATCATTTACTTAGTTAGAAAAAAATTAGTTTTTAATATTTTCGTACATTTCTGTAATTTTTTATTTATAAAACTCTAACTTTTTATTGATTATAAATTCATTTTCGTCAGTTTTTTAAGAGTCGAAGTCATCATCGTCATTATATTTAAGATTTTTTTATTAAAGTTTAAATATTTTATCATTTAATTACTATATAGTCAATAAATGTTCATTGTTTTCTTTTTATAATTTCTCTTGATCTTATTTTAACTAATCTAAAGACTCTATTTGGGTTTTTAAATTATTTATTTCTGTATTTAATTCTGCTTGTTTTTCGTCTGATTTTTATTTTTATTTTTGCATTTGAATTTTGTTTAATTAAAGGTATTCCTCACTTCTTTTTTTTATTTGTTTAATTCTTATTGGGATTTCTCATTATTTTATTAAGCTGTATACTATTATAGTAGTAATTTTTTGAATTATCGTTAATTTTCTAAACATAAAAGAAGTTTTTGTTAATAATTATTATAATGTATTGGGATATTTTATTATATTTCTTTTTATTATATAGAAGTATTTTTATCTGATTTTTTTTAGATAAAGAATATAATAATAAGAGTAAATATTTTGAATAAATAGAAGAAAGTTTGTCTTATAAAGATTTTCTATAAAATTTCTTTCTTCCTCTTTTTAAATTACTATACTTTTTTATTCAAAAATGGCTTATTCTAGTTTTTTGTTATATTCTAGGCTTATTTTTATTATTTCTTCATCTTTTTCTATTATTTATTATTTGTTTTTATCTTCTAAAGAGTTTATTTTTTCTTCTAAAATTTTGGTATAATTTTTTGATCGTTTTAATCTTGTTTATTTGTTAAATTTCCTTTTTCTTTTTATAATAAAGTATTGTTATTTTATAGGCAAATTAAAAGATAGTTTTCTAAAAATTTAAATTTTTATTAATTTTTTTCTTTTAAAAATTCTTCTTTTTATATTTTTAAAGTATTTTCATAATTTTATTTTTCTTTATTTATTTAATTTTCTAAAAAAGTATTTTCTTTTTATAAAGAAGATATTTATTTGTTATATTATTCGTTTTCTTCTTCCATTTTTTTAACTAAATCATTTATCAGATTTTATTATTCGTTTATTTTTTAATTTTTTTCCATTATTTAATTATTATAATTTTTTACTTCATTATTTTATTGACTGTTTAGTTAAATAAATTATTATTTATAATCTTTTAAATCGTTAATCTCGTTAATTTATTCACTTATTTTTGTTTAAAATTGGTTTATTTTTTCTTAGTTAGTTTAATTTAATTAATTGATTGTTTCATTTAATTCTTTATTTTCGCTTTATTTTAACTATATTTAGTCCTTTTAATATGTTATTATTTGATCTTTTGAATTCAAAATATCTTTGTTTTCATCAAATTGCTCTTTAAGCTTATCTATTTATTATATTTATTATTCTATTTGTATTTATAATTCATTTATTGTTTAATTTTATTAGGTTTTGAGATCTTCTTTATTATTGTTTTATTTTTATAAAGTTTCTATTTATTAAACTAATTAAATTATTTTTTAATCAAATTGTAATTTTTATTCATTTTATATTTATTCAATATTATTTTTCTCTATTAAGTTTTTTTATGCATCTTCTTTAATAAGTTTGTTTTCTTTTTGTAAATTTTAGATATCATTATTTAAATATTCAATTTTTTTATTTAATTCTTCAATATTTTTGTTTAAGTTTGAAATATTATTTTCTTAATCTTAAATATTTTTTTTTAAGTCTTCATTATTTTATTATAAAATTTCATTATCTTTTTCTATTTTTTCAATAGTTTTTTATAAATTTTCATTATTTTTCTCTAAGTTTTCATAATTTTATTATTTGTTTTTAATATTTATTTAATAATTTTCAGTGTTTTTTTATAAAGCTTCGATTTAAATTTATTGATTTTGGATTTAGTTTAATTAATTTTATATTTAGTTGTTTTTTAATACGATTTATTTTTATAAATCTTCACTTTCTTTTTGATTATTTTCGATTTCTTGATGAAGATTTTTATTTTCATTTGAAATACTTTCGATTTATTATAAAATTTTTTTATTTTCAATATATTAAAATTCAAGTTTAGACTATAAATTAGAAACGAATTTTTAATTAGTTTCAGTTTCATTCAATAATAATTCGTTTTGGCTTGTTTAATTTTATATTGCTTTTTATAAAAGTTATTTTTCCTCTATTTCTTCTTTAAGTAGTTTTTATATTTTTTCTTTTTCTGTATCTTATTTTTCTAGCTTTTTTATTAAACTTTCTTTTTCTATTTTCAAATTTTCTCTTTCCATTGTTAAATTTTCTTTTTCTTTTTTTAGAATTTCTTTTTCATTTATTAATTTTTCTTTTTCGTTTATAAAATTTTAGTTTTCGTTTGTTAAATTATCACTTTCATTTATTAGTTTTTCTTTTATTTTTTATAAATCTTCCTTATCTTTTTATAAATTATTTTTCTCATTTATTATATTTTGATGCTCTTTTTCTAATTCTTCATATTGTTTTGTTATTTTTTAGTTTTGTTTTATTACATTTTCATATTAATTTAATTATTCTTGATATTATGTTGATAAATTTTCATGATTTTTTAACTATTTTTGAAGCTCTTTTTGTAAGTTTTCATTTTGATTTAATAATTTTTCATATTCTTATTATAATTTTTGTAATTTATTAAGAATATTTTAATTATCATTTGATTATTTTTCATGTTCTTATTTTAAGTTTCCTTATTAATTAATAATTTTTTCGTTTTCTATTTATAATTTTTAGTTTTCTTGTTATAAATTTTAATGCTCTTTTTATATTTCTTATATTTAATTTTAAAGATTTGATTTCTCTTTATTTAAAATATCTATTTATTTATTAAATTAAATATTTTAATTATTATTTTTATCTTTCTAATTATCATATTCGGCCTATAATTATTAAATATCATTTTTTAATTTGGATATTTCTTCTTATAAATTATTAATATTTTATTCTTATTTTTCATTTATATTTTTCAAATTTTCAATTTCGAAAATTAGCTTTTCGTGCTAAACTTTCGTATTTTCAATTTAAATTTTATATTTTTCACATTATTGAGTTAAATTATTAATTTCATTTACAAAACTATGTTTTTCTTAATTAAATTTACTATTAATTTATTCTATTTATTGCTCTAGTTCTAATATGTTTGTTTAAAGTTAATCTTTATCTAAAGTAATATTTTCTATTTGATTTTTATATTAGTTAATTTCCTAAAGTAATTTTCTTTTTTCTTTTAAATACTCTTCGAATTGAATTTTCATTTATTAGATTTATTCATTTTCAGATTTATTATTTTAGTCGATTTCCTATAATAAAATTTCTATTTTTTATTTATTTTCAACAAGTTCATTTTCTTTTTAAAAAATTTAATTTTTAAACTAAGAAATATTATTTCTATATAAGTTTATTTCTATATTTTATTTATCAAGGTTTTGATTTAATTATTGTATATTTTATTTTAAGGATTCTTCTTTTTATTAAAAAATTAAAATTTGATTTTGTGTTTATTTATTTATTTCTTCTTATTATTAAATTAAAGCTTTATTTATATTTTCTTAGTCAGAAATTTGTTTTTGTAAGTTTTTTATTTATAAAGAAATTTTTTAATTTTGACTGTTTTTTTCGTCTTGTGAATTATTTTTTATTTAAATTATTTCTTCTTATTAATCTTTTAGTGCTTTATTCAAATTTTCTATTTATTTTTTTAATATGTTCGATTATGCTTCAAATAAATTATCTTTTTCCACAATTTCAAGTCTATTTTCATTTTATATTTCTTCGATTTTTTTTTATAAATTTTAAATTTAAGTGTTCATAAGTCCCTTTTAATTAGAAAATTTTTTTAGGTCTTCTTATTATTACTTTATTTAAGTTTCTTTCTGTAAAATTTCTTTAGTTTTTTCCCCATTTTGGATTAAAAGTTGTTCGTATTTTTCTTAAAGTTTGCTATTTTATTAATTTTATTATTCTATAGAATCTTTTAGTTGATTAATTTATAAAAATAAATCGTTTTTGTTTACTATAAAAGAGTTTATTTACTATTCTTAATTTACTATTTATTCATTTTTGTTTTTTAATTATTATCTAAAAGTTTCAATTTATAAATTTTATTCATTAAATTATTACTTTAATTATTCTAAATTTTCTTAATATATTTTAATTTCTTAATTTTTTTATTTTTCATTTAAAATTTTGGCTTTTTCTTGAGTTTCTATATTTTAGGAAAAAAAGTTTATTTATTGAGAAAAATCATTAATTTTTTTTAAATTTTAATCTTTTTCTTATTCTAATTAAATAATTAAAGTTTATAATTTTTCAATTTTTTCTTCTAAAGCTTATTTTTCTTAATTATTTTTTTAGTTCATTTTTTTAATTATTTCATCTAAATTTCTCTTCTCTTCTAAAATTTAATTTTTTTCTTAAAAAATCTTTTCTTAAGTAAAATTTTAAGATTCGTTTTATTATTTTATAATTGTTTGTAATTATTCAATTTATACTTTTTGTTAATTTAATATGCTTTTTTGTTATTTTTCCATCTCAATTTTCATATATATATCTTTTTCGTATTCTTATTGTTGTTTTTTTAAAGTTTAACGCGTACTTTCAAGCTATTCTTGTAAGCTTTGGATTTTGTTGTTTAAATTTTATTATTCTTATTGATTTTCGATATTTATTTAAAGAAAAGAATCGTTATATTATTTCATTTATTTATTCAAATTATTAATTTATGTTTTATAATTATTCATTTGACCATTCATTTCGTTAATTTTTTCATTTAGTTCGTTATTTAAAAGACTTTATTTATCTAAATTAGTTTATAAAACAGTATTTTTATGAGCAATTTATGTATTTTTTTATTCCAAATCTACTATTTATTACTAGAAATTTTCAAGAGTGGAATTTTGGACATTTTCTTAAAGTAAAAAAGCCTGAATTTAATCTTAAAGTAGATTTACGTTATTTTAGTATTCTTTTATTTTTTAGAGATTTTTTTTATTTTCTATTTATATTTATTCATTTTAGTCGATTTTTTGGTTTCTTTCTTATTTAATTTTTTCAAAGTCTTCTTTTAAGCTTTTGTTTTCGAGTTCTTTTTGGAAAAATTCCTTTGCTTTTTTTTCTTGATTTTCTTCTAAGACTTGGATTTATTCTTATATTTAATTTATTTTTTATTCCATGTTTTTTATTTTTTCATCTCTTTTTTTATTATAGTGCTTTATTCAGTTATTTCTTAATCTTTTTCTTCCAAATTCTATTTCAGTCTTTTATTTTCGAATAGTTCTTATTGGATATTGATCTGTAAATCTTAAATAGAAGCTTTCAAAGTGTTTATCATTTGAAGCTTTTGATCTATGTCTGCTAAAAGAAGTATTTTTTCATGATTTAATTAGTCTTTTTCTTTTATATATTATTGATTTTCATATTATTATTAATTTAATTGTTATTAGTTTTGGCTAAAAAGGGCTTTCTATTTATTATATTTAGTATTTATTTCTTCTTTTTGGCTATTTAAGGTCTCTAGGAGGTTTTTTTATTTATTTAATTAATCATTTAGTTAAGAAATAAGTTCATTTTGTTAAGAAATTTAATTATTTAATTAATCTATTTTCTATTAATTTTAGTTTTTTTATTCCCCAAGTTATATTTCTAAAGAAGATATTTTAGATAAATTCTGGTTTATTTTTTCTTCTAAATTAAGTATTTTTTAATCATTTTCTTTGTTTTTTTCTTCGAAATAATGAATTTATTTATCGGCTTTAGAAAGATTTTCTTTAATTTATTTTTCGGATGAATTTTTTTGTTGATTTTGGTTTAAAATTTGGTTAATTTTTTCCTCGTTTTCATTGTTTTTTTAGCTTAGATTTTTAATTTGAATTTCCTTTTAAAAAATTATTTCTTTTTCATCTTTTAATTAAATTTAAAGGAAATTAATTTATTATAAAAAATTGTTTTTTTATTATGAAAATTCTTCCATATTATTTATAATTTTTAAAGACAGTTAGTTATTTTTTTCATTTTATTGGTTTATTTTTTCCAAAAGTTAACTATTTTAAATTTCTAGTTATTATTTGTGATTATTAATAACTAAATTAAGGTTTTCTACTTCATTATTTTTCTCATTTAACATATTTTATATATTTTAATATTATAAATTTCTATTCTCAAGATCCTATTGTAGATTTTAAGACTGTATTTTTTTCTCGTAAAGTTATTTGGAAGCCTCTTCGAGCTAATTTTTTAATTTTTGGTTAAAATTGTGGCTTTCCTATATTTCATTTTGCATTTTTTGAATGTTTATTTTATTTTCTTCAAGTGTTTTTTCAAGTTGGATTTTATAGTTTTCTTCTTCGAAATTTTTTTTGGAAAAATGGGCAATTTCAGTCTATTATTTTTATATTTTTTACACATTTTCTTGTTCTTTTTGTATACTTTCTTTAATTTTTAGTTTATTTTTTTTATTTTTTTCTTTATATTTTTTTAGTTTTTCTTAAAGATTTTCAATTCTTTCTTAATTTGAATTTAATTCAAATTGTAAGTTTTTTATTTAAAATTCCAAATCGATTTTCACTTCATCTTTTTGCTCCAAATTGCTTATTTTTTTAATCAATTCTTCGTTTTCAATCTAATAGAGTATTAATTCGTCCTAAATATTTTATATTTAAATTATTAGGTTTTAGTTTTTGTTTAATTCATCCTATATAGTGATTTCGAACTCCTAAATTTACTCGTTTTTGGTTTATATTTCGATATTTTATTACTATATAATGTTTATTTGGTCTTATATTTATTATTCTAGTTAAATTAAAGAGGTTAATTGTTTTTTTTCGAAGTCATTTTGGGAACTTTCTTGCATTTTTTTGTTTTTTTTTATTATTTTTTGAATTTTTTTTTCCTTTTCCTCCATTTCTTCTTTCATTTTATTCATTTAATTATTTAACTGGGAAATTTCCTTATTTTTTTATTCTATTAAATTGTCGTTTTACGTAATTTTGAATTTAAAAGCTTCCACTTCTTTGAAAAGTGAAATATATTTTTGGTGAAATTTTTACTTTTCGTTAATTTCGGAAGTTATTTGTGTAAAATTTGAGTGATTTTTTTCCTCAAAAAGACATATAGTGTGTTTTAAATGTTCTATCTATTAAATTTATTAATAAATGAAATTTTCTTTTTCGGCTAAATTTAAAGAAAGGATTTTATTTTATTCATTTTATTCGATTATTTGTAAATCTTTTGTATTAATTTGTTTCAAAAGGCTTAATATTTCCTGTTTATATGGATTTTTTTTTTAAGTAATGTTTATTTTCCATTAAAATTCATCTTCTTATTAAAAATTTTCTTGTTAAAAATTTATTTATTCGTGTATTTATTTTTGTATTTCGATTACAGTTTATTTAGGTATACATTTTTTATACATTTCGATTTCTATTAATTTCTATTTCATCTTTTTTTCCAATTTCCTATACTATTATTCTAAATATAAACAGTAATTGAATATTTTCTTGTCAGTTATTTTAGATTAAATTCGAATATTATTATTTTTACTTTATGGACTGTTTTCGTTATAGATTCCTTTGTTTTCGCTTTATATTTATTTAGTTTATAATGATCGTTGGCTGTTTGACTATTTTATTGTCTTCAAATGTTAGGGTTGTTATAAGGGAAAAAAGTTTTTTGGAGTCTTTATTTGTTTGATATTTTCGGGAGGAGAAAAAGACTTTTAAACCGTTTAACAATTTTATATTGTTTGCTTTATTTAATGGTTTCGGGTTTCTACTTCGCGCATTATTTAGTCTATTTTTTGAAGATTATCTTTTTTCATTTTTATTTTTATTTTTTAGAAAAAAAATTGTAATATATTTTATTTTTTAGCTTTTAATTTTTTTTAAGTTATATGAAATTTAAAATTAAATTAAAAAATAAATATAAATAGTTTTTATTTATATTTATTTTAATTTTTAATAAACATTAATATTTTATTTAATTATTTAAAAATATTTTAAATATAAATTTTAAAAATACTTTAATAAGAAAGAAAAAAAAAAAATATCATTTAATTTAAAAATATTTTAATAAACCAAATTACTATCCAGTAATTTCTTATGTTTTTAAAAGAAAATTATAGCAAACTTCGCATTTTAAAAAATTAAATTGACTATCATCATTAATATCATTATGATCACATTAATTATTATAACTTTATTATTGTTAATTATAATTACTATTGTTATTATTATTATTATTATTATTATTATTATTATTATTATTATTATTATTATTATTATTAATATATAAAGGATTATAAAATATTTAATTATTTTATTTTTCTTTTTATTCCATATCTTCTTCTTAAAAATATTTAAAATTTTCTTCATCATAATATTTTTCTTCAAGTTCAATTTCTTTGGAAATAATTCCTTATGTAAATTCATGTAAATATTTAACTTTATTTTTATTTTTTTATTATTATTATTATATTTCTGTTTATTTTTCTTTTAATTTTTCATTAATATACTTAAATGATTAAGGAATATTTTCTAAAAAACTTAAGTATTATTAATTTTATTAAATAAATTCCTAATTTTCTATTCCGTAAATTAATACACTCACCCCGAATCTTCCAAACCTTTAAATTATAAATATTTTTATATATATATATTAGTATATCTATATAAAATAAACCTCCCTGTTCTACCTATTCTATGTAAATAAGTTTCTATTTTAGATGGTAAATCATAATTAATAACTAGATCCACACTATTTATATCAATACCTCTAGCCAAAAGATCAGTTGCTATAATAATATTGGCTTTATTTCTTCGAATTTAATTCATTATTTTGATTCTGTCTGCTTAGATAATATCTCCGTGTATAAAAATGCAATTATATTTTTAATTTTTGAGTTCATTATAAATATTTTCACCCTTAATTTTATCATTATAAAATATTAAGGATTAAGTAAAATTTATATTTTATAAAATTTTAGTTATAATTTCCATTTTTTAATAAGTAATAGAAAATTATTTATTTTCTTAAATAAATGCCTTTAATTAAAAAATATTATTTAAATTTATTTATTCTTCTTCTTGTACTTTTTCATCTTCATTTTATTCTTAGTTTTTTGAATTTATAAAATATAATCAGGAATTAATTTAAAATATAGTTTTTTAATTAATCTGGATAAGTGGCTGAAAAAGCCAAATATTGACAGTTTTTGCCTTTCAAAAATTCAAATAAAGTATCTATTTATTTTAAAAAATCTTTCTAACTTACTAGTTTATCTGCCTCGTCCATTATTAATATTTTATTTTTTCCAATAGTAAGCTTTTTTCTTTTATAAGGGCAAATATTCGACCTAATGTGCCTATTCCTATGTTTATTTATTACATTTTTAAATTCCTGCGGTCATCTTAAATAGGAAGACCTCCTATAAAAAGTGCACTTTTGACAAATTGTTAAGAATTTTAATCTAAAAACTTAGTTAATAATTATAATTATTCAAATACTTAAATAGCTAATTCACGGGTAGGAAGAATTATTAATGATTAAGGAGAATTTTTTTAATTTTAAATGGGATTTTTTAATAAATTTAATATCAATATAGATAAAAAAGATAATGTTTTGCCTGTTCCAGCTTTTGATTAAGCTATTATATTTTTATACTATAAACCTAAAGGAATAGTTTTAGCTTATATAAAAGTTGGATTAATAAAATTAAGATTTTTTAAATTTTATATATATTATGTATTTGTTATGCTTAAATCAGAAAATTAAAAATCTGTAAGAATTAATTCATTTTCTGTATGCTATTATATGTTTTACATAAGAATATAATTAATTTATAAATAAATACATAAATATATAAATATATAAATATATAAATATATAAATATATAAATAAATATATAAATATATAAATATATAATTAATTTATATAATAATGATAATAAAAATATTAATAATAATAATAATAAATATAATAATAGTACTAATAATAATAATAATAATAATAATTAATAATAATAATAATAATAATAATAATAATAATAATAATAATAATAATAATTCATTTCAATATATAATAATAATAATTTTTTAACATAATAATATCAATTATATTAATGACATCAATAATAATAATTTTATTGCATTGAATAATTATAATTCATATAATTTTATTTTATACATAATAATATTAATTTTTATGTTATAAAAATTAAATTAGAATTTTTAATATATTAATTAAATAGAATAGTTAATAAATAAAAATTACTTTTAAATTTAAAAAATATTAAGTTCATAAACTAATTTAAAGTTTATTTATATATGATTAAAAACAAATTGTTTTTGAAATTAAATATATAATCATTTATTTTTTTTATTTTAAAAAAATAAAATAAAAAGCGATCTCATTTAAAAATTAATCCTAAAGTTTAATCTAAAATATTTTTAACAGAATCATTACCATTTAAAAAATAACAACTAGTATTTAGTTATGAACTTTTTATAAAATTTACATATTTTTAATATTCATTAATTATAACATCCCAAAAATAAATTTCTGGTATAGGAATAGTATTCATTCTTCTAATATAAATTTAATCAATATTAGTATTTAAAAATATAGTTTTTTAAAATAATGAAACTAGATTTTAATTTCTTAAAATTAATGTACCTTCTATAATAATTACTTTTTATTTTTTTTTTAGTTTATATTTTTCTATTATATCATTTACATATTTTTCAAATTTAACCCAATTTACACTTTCGTAAAGTTCCCAATTTCCTCCTAATTCATTGTAAATTTTTTATTTGTCAAAAAACATGTCTTACATTAAAACTTTCGCATTTAAACATATTTATAATTATTAGGATAATGTGCTTTTTCCAGCCCTTGTAGCTCCTGATATACCTATTATTAAAACTTATTTTTAATTTTAATTTTTAGGGTATTTAATAGTTGCAAAAACAGCTTTTTCGTCTTTTATTTAGTCTATATTTTCCACTATAGAATTATCTTGGGTTTTTCTTAGGGTAATATTAACATTTTCTAGTTTAAAATACTCTAATATTGAATCTTTTATGTATTATAGTTATATTATTTTTTACTCAGGGATACTTATTTTAGCAAATTTCTTAGGATAGTCTTTTTCGCGGCTTACTATTATTTAAAAAATACCTTTTGGAGGTGATTTATGTTTTTTTATTTCAAGAATTTACAGTATATCAACTTCAGAATTCATTAAAGTATCTATTTATGAATTTATTTAATGAATATTTTCATGAATGTTTATATTTTATTATTCAAAGAAATCATTTATGACTATTTTTTTGTATTTTAAATCTTCGAAATAATCGATTAATATTTATTTATAATTATTTTCATACGAAGTGTTTTTTTCACTAAAAAGTAATGAAATATATGTTATTAATTCCTAAAACTCTTCTTTTTTTTCTAAATTTTCTATATGTGTAAGATTTTCGATAAATTATTTTTATTTTTCTAGTATTTTTTTCGAAATATCAAGATTAAAACCATATATTTTTCTTAAATTCTCTATTTTTTTTAACATATTAGTCTATATTAGTTCTAAATTGTTTAAAATTTGATAATTTTTTTACTCTATATTAGATATTATATCTGATATTTGGTCTTTTAATTTATTTTTTTATTCATTTATGTTATTATTTGTTTACAGAAATTATAAAAAATCACTCATATTTATTGTCTAGTGTTCATTATGGTCTTCAGATTCACATTAAAGGCATATTAAGCCTTTTTTTTTGCAATTTAGAGTTACACATATTTTTTAATTTTAATTTTAAGGATGATTTTAGCAATTCATTTTTTTTTTTTTATTTAATTAATTTTTGATGAAAAAAAAAAAAAAAAAAATCTAAAAACATAAATTTAAAATTTAAATTTATAAATATTATTAATTATTTTTTTTCAATTTTAAAAAAATAAATATTTCATTTAGATGTATATTAAATATTACCATTTAAAAAATCTTTAATAACTAATTTAGCAACATTTTCAGTATTTTTATTTTTGAATTTTTTCGCAGTCTCTACATTTTATAAGAACTAAAGATTATTTTTAAAATCAGGAATTTTATATAAAATCAAAAGATTATTTTTATTCACTTTCTTTAAAATTTCTTCAACTATATCAATTGGCTTTTAAATCTCATCAACTTCAAGAATATTTCTCAAAACATTCTTTTTCTTATTTTCTGTGTCAATAATAACATAACTATATTGAACTAATTATAATTCTGCAGTTTAAAAGTTTTATAATTAGTCAAGTAATGTTGATTTTCCTACATAAGGATATCCTAAAACACCTATTTTTAAAAGATTTTGTTATTCATTTGAATTTTCATCTTCAATTTAATTTTATACATTTTAAAAAGACTTTAGCAATTCAACAAGAGTTTAAATAGGTAAAATTTAAGTTAGTTTAAAAAATTTTTATTAGTTTTTAGTATCAGGTATCTCTAAATTTTTCATTTTAGAGGAATAACAAATAACATTATTATCTACTCTTAATTATGTTAACCAAAATTCTAAATTATTTCTAAAATAATTTATGATATAAATGAATATAAAAAATATATATATATATATATATATATATATATATATATATATATATATATTTATATATAATTATATTTGTATATCATATAATTTATTATATTACTATGGAATCAAATCTGCTTTATTTAATACTAAAATCAGCTTTTTTCCTTAATTTTTAATTTATTCTTCTACATGTGTATTTCTATACATATTAGGATCTCTTGAGTCTAAAAGATATAAAAATACATCAGCTTAGTCTATGAATTATTCTAGATTTTTTTAATAATATGTTCCTTATTTTTTTATTAATTCTAAATTAGATACATTTTTTTTTTTCTTTTTAAAAATGCTTTCGTCTTCGAAATGAAATTTAGTCTAATTTGTTTTTTTAAAATTTTATTCTTCATCATTTTGTTATTCTTATAAGGCTTTTTTTTTCTTTCTTCTTTTTATTGTTATAATAATTCTTATTTTTCTTTTTTCTTCATTTCTAAATATTCAATTTCTTCAAGCTTGTGAGGATATAAATTTGGTAAGTCAACTTTTTGAGTCATTTCTAATTTTTTTTTTTTATTTTATATATATATTTATTTTATTTTACTTTTTTTCATTATTCCTAATGATTTCAATTTTTTAGCTTCTTTATTCATTTTTCTGTTGTGGTCTTTTACCCTTTTTGCTATTTTGTATTTTTAAGCACATGTCTTTCTTTTGGATGCTTTATTTCCAGGTTTATTACCAAATTTAGCCATTTTTTTATTTTTCTTTTTAGTTTTTTTTTTTTAATTAAATTTTTAATTTTAGTTTTAATAAAAATTTAGTTTTTTTGTAAATTAAAAATAAATAAGATTTTATATACAAAAAAATTTATATACCCAAACAAAACAATAAAATTAATACAACTTTTTTTGTTTTGTTTTAAATAAGTAATTTTATTTATTTAAAAAATTTAAATTAAAAAAAAAGAAAAAAATATTAATATATAAAAAATAAAATGAGTAACAAAAGTGACTAAGAAAATGATAATTACGATGATCATAACGATTATGACAATGAAAACGACAATATCAATGATGATCATAATAATTAAGTAAGTTAAGAACAATAGCAAATTCCCGACTAATAATAAAATTCATAGGAAAATCATAATAATGGTTAATTATAAAAATTTATATAATATGTATATTTTTTATTTATAATTTAGATAATTAAAATAATAATTAAAATGAATATGATAGTGGTTAAGATGATAATAATAATAATAAAAATTAAAACATATCAGATTAATTAAGTGAAGAAATAGAAGAGAAAATCAGAGTTTTTGACAGTTTCATAAAAGATAAGAATGAGGAATAAATTTTAAATATAAGAATGCATTAATTAGCATTAGCTAAAGTAAAAAATAATATAAAAAAATATAAATTAATAAAAAAATAAAAAATAGATTTTAGTATTTACACATAATAAAAATTAATTTAAATTAGTCGAAGCCCATACTAAATTAGGAATCGCTTATTTAAATTATAAATGTTATGAATAAGCAATAGACCATTTAACAATGAGTTTAAAAAAAAATGGGAGTCTTTTTTCCTAAGTTAAAGAGTCTAAAATTTACCATTCTGAAATTTTGACATATTTAGGTAAATGTTATTTGGAAATATAAAGTTACGAAGATGCACTTGAATTATTAACTAAGGCAAACGAAATTTAAATTTAAGTTAAAGGAAATGATGATGTTTAGTCAGTATAAACTTTAAAAGCTATAAGTGATTGCTATGTAAAATTAAAAGAACATGAAAAATCACTTGAATATTTGTAAAAAGTTTGGTAAATCTCGGAAAACCATTATGGATATAAAAGTGAATAATGTGCAATGGTTTATGTAGACATGGCTAAAATTTATGTCCTCTAAAATAATTATAATGAGGCTATTGAATATCAAACTAGAGCTATCGATTTTTTAATTGAATTAGAATATAATAACCCTGAATATGTAGCGGAATTATATTAAGTTTTGGGTACTTATTAAGAAAAAAATGAAAAAATAGATGAATAAATAGATAGTCTATAAAAAGTTATATTATAAAAAATTATATATTAATATATAAATATATATATAAAAATATATATAGTATAAATATTTTTTATATATATCTTTTAATTTTTAAAGGTTAAGACTTTATTTAAAGAAATATATGGGTAAAATGATAAAAAAGTAATAAAAGTAAAAAGATAAATTTCTATGATTTTACTTAAAAATAATCAACATTAAGAAGCATTAAATGAATTATAAGAAATAGAAGTATTTTTTTTTTTATTTTTATTTTTTTTTATTTTATTCTAATTTTTTTCAAAATTTATAGTAAATGGAAAATAAGGTTTTCGGAGAAAATTCAGTTTAAATTGCTAAAACTATGAGAATAATTGGTACTGTAATGATATTAAATTAAAATTATTTTGATGCACAAAAGTATTTATCAAAAGCAATTAAAATATTTGAAGAAAACGGAATGAAAAAGGCTGTTAATGAAATAAAAGAAAAACTAAAAATGGCTAAAGATATTAAAGAAAAGAAATAGGCTCCTGCTATGGATTATGGAGTAGCTGACTATTAATGAAATAAGAATATATAAATAAAATTATAAATAAATATAAAATTTATATATATATAGATATATATATACATATATATTTATATTTGCATATTATTTTTTTTTAAATTACCTAAATTTAAATAAGAAATATTTTTTTTTATCCCTTTTATTTTTGTATTTTGTTTTATTATAAAAATATCTTGTAATATTTAATAAATATATATTTTCTAATAATTATATATAAATATAATTAGTATTTTTTTTTTAATAATTAATTTTTTAAATTTATATAACTTTTTTTCTTTATATTTTTAAATCAAATTTTTAGTTTTTTTTTTTATGTGATTTGTTAATAAATAATTGATTAAATAAACTTTATTAGTAAATACTAATCTAAAATAAAATATTGAGATTTATATATATTATAAAAAAAATAAAAAAAATATTTTTTTACTTTTTAAATATATATTTATATTAAAAATAACATTAATAGAATTTTTACTATAAATAATTAAAAAAATAAAATAAAAATTATTAAAATAAATTATAATAAAAAATATTTCGTTTCAAATATTAAATTATAATAAATGTTTAATTCTTATTCGAATACTTAATAAAGTCGAAAAAATAGTTATTATTCAAATTAAAATTTTGATAATTTAAATAAATATTCAAATCCACTTTTTTAAAATGCAGCAAGTAGTTTATTAGCAAATAATTTTAATAATTAAGAAACATCAAAATAATTAAATAATATTTTTTCTAATTAATATATTAATTTATAAGATAATAATAACTAATATAAAAATACTTAAGCAAAATTATCTAAACCGAATTATGATTTTTAAAACGACTTTTTATATTAAAATGTGATAAATTAAAATTAACATATGCTTAAATTAGAACGAGAAAAAAACGAAAAGCTAAAACCTTAAAAAGAAAAAAAGATGCTAAAAGTTATATACGAATAAATAAATAATTAAAATAAACTTTTGGAAAATTTATAATAAAAATTAAGCTAAAAAGAAGTAAATTCCTACTAAGATGATATTATATAATAACTAAAAATTTAATAATTACAAAGAGAAATGGAAACAAGTAGATAATTAAGATTATTAAAATAAGAAATTTCTTAACTATAAAATTAACCAATTAACTAGTATTATAATCAATAATTAATTTATTAAGAAAATAAATAAGCAGAAACTATGATGATGTTTATGATGTTAATGATGAATAATAAAAACTAGTCTTAATAATTGTAATAATAATAATAATTTTAATAATAAAATATATAAAAAAATAATTATAATGAAGATTTAACATCAAATAAACTTGAAAAAATTATTTTTTAAACTCTAAAAGAAAAAGCCTTAAAAGATATATTATAAAAAGATAAAGATATCTAAAATTAAATTTAAAATAATTACTAAAGTTCTTAAAAAAATATAAATAGTAGTAATAATACAATAAACTCATTAAAATCTATAACTGATAAACTTGAATACAATAAAAATAGAAGTAAATCAAACGTAAATAATTAAAGCTAATATAATCAAACAACTTAAAGTTAATTAAAACATAAAAAAAATAAAAAATAAAGAGATAAAAAACCTAAAAGTGCTAATTATGAAAATAATCTTAAAAATGCAAAAAAATGTTTCAGAGCTATTTATTTTATATTCACACTTTTGAAAGAATAAAAATTAACATAAAATTAAATGAAAGAAAATTATATTTCTTCGATTAAAAATAGAAAATTAGATTAAGAAAATTAAATTTATAATTGGCTTTAAAATGCTTGCGAAAAATTATTTGTAAAATTAAAAGATTCGTCAAAATAAGATTAAGATATATCAGAAACAAATATTAAAAAGTTAGGAAAAAAGAAATAAGAATAATTATTTACTGAGTATATTAGAGATTGTAATTTAATTGTAGAAGAAATGAGTATATAAGTAAAATTAAAGTTTTAAAATGAAATAAAAGAATTTGTATCTGAAAACTTTTATGATTATTCTTATATTGCATTCGAGGAAGTAATAATATAATTTATAAAATATAAAATAAATGATAAATAAATTATATATATATATTTACTAATTTATATAATAAATATAAATATATATTTATATATTTATATATTTTTATATTTTTATTTATATTTATTTTTAATTTATTTATATCACATATATATATAATTTTATCTTTTTTTCTACATATATATTTTTTTTATATATTTATTTTTTATTTTTATTTTTTTTATTTTTAGTTTTTTTTTTAATTCGAAATAATGAGAATTTAATTTCATGAAAAATTTTTATATTTAATTGGTATAGATTAGGATAAAAATTCATAAACATTTATTATGATTATAATAATATATATTTTTATAAAAAATTTAATTACAAAAATACTTATATAACCTTGGAATGCTTAAAATTAATAATAAAAATCTAAACTTATTACAAAAAATTAAAACACTTAAAAAAAAGTTTAATTCTATCTTCTATTATATATATTTGCTGTATGTAAATATTATAGGAAAATACTGTTTAAATATAATAAAATTAAGATTTATTATAAAAAGTTAATTACAATAAATTAAACTATCGTAGTTTCAAATGATGACAATATATAAATTTAACCAGAATAAGGAACTAATGAATAATTATTAACTGGACTTTTAAAAACAGATTAATTGTAAAGCTTTTTTAATTTAAATAATTAATGGATAATTTCTTTTAAATAAAAAATTATTTAATTTGCTGAAAATATAAGAATTTAATGTGATGAATATAGGTAGGAAGTTCTTAAATTAAGAAAAGAAGCTTTAATGGAAAAAGCTTCAGATTATTAAAAGGATATTCCCGAAAAATTAAGAAATTGTAAACCAAAAGATAATGAATGAGTTTTCCTTTTATATTAATTAATATATTTATTTATTTATTTAATTATTTATATTTTTATCTATTTAATTTTATTTTAATTTTTATTTTTATAAATATTTTTTTTTTAATTTATATATATTTTTTTAAAAATAGACTTTTCTTTTTTTTTCTTTTTTTAGATATAAAAATTTTATTTTTTTCATAATCTTAAATTAAAAAAGTTAAAATTATAAAACCTTTAATAAATAATTTTTCTAAATTATAAAAAAATAATGTAAAATCTTAAAAAAGCTACTATAATTACAGGTTCTTTAGCTGCCTTTGGTGCATTATCTTATTATTTCTTTGATAAATATAATTAAAATAAATCTTTAAATTCATGTAATTCTAGTTCAGTTAGTGGTTAATAAACTCTTACAAAAGAAGTCATGATGAAGACTTTAAAATCTTTAAAGAAGGAGTTATTTGCTTCAGCTCTTTAAATTTCAATGATGGTCTAATAAATAAAATAATAAGCTGGAGGAAAATTAAATTTTGACATGAAAGAATTTATTTACTCATACCGTAAATAAAAAAAAAAGAACATAAAAATATATATAATTAATTTTTTATAAAAAAAGCTGCAATTACTTAAGAAATAGCCAATAGTGAAAATAAAGCCTATTAAAAAAATGGAATTACATAAGAAATCTTTTAATGGAATTGCGAAAATACATATAAAAATGATAAGTAAAATAAAATTTTATTTATTTATTAATTTTTGAAAAAAAAAAAAAAAAGATAAATATAAGAAATATAAGAAGAACTAAAAAAGATGTTCGATTAAGCAGTTTTAGGATATCCACCTGATGCTAAAACCGAAATTCCCGAATTTTTGACTTCATAGAAACTTCTCGAAATTATAGAAAAAATTATGAGATAAACTACAAAATCTATGTAATAGAAATTTCTAGAAATGAAATAATAACATGGTTAATTAAATTTAAATGATCCTCGTATTATTTAGTAAATGTCATCATTAAAATTAGAAGATATTAAGTAAAATATATATACATATATATATGATTATTTTTAATTTTTAATAAGAAATGAAATTCTTTAATAATATGGTTTAGATGATTTTGATGATCCGTCAACTAAAATATTGCAATATGCTACTTAAAAATATAATATGTAAGATTAATAATTCAGTATGAAAATGGCTACTTTAGAACTCAAGCATAGAAAGTCTATGGAAACTATTATGGCTAATCCTGAATTCGAAAGTGCTGTTGATAAAATTTTCGATGAAAATATCCCAGAAAGTTCTTTCGGTTAAATGGGTGAAATGTTTGCTGGTATGATGGTAAATTAAAATTTATTTTTAATTTAATTTAATTTTATTATTTTTTTTATTTAGAAAAACAATTAAAAAAATGTTAATTAATAATAATAAGCTTCTGAAATAAAAGCAGCTGAATAATAAAAATAAGAAAGTGTTTAAATAGTTATAGATGAAAAAACTGAAGTTGTTTAAGAATAAGTGGAAAATGTTTAAGAAAAAGTAGAAAATATTAAAGAATAAATAAATATTAATAAATAAGAAAAAGAAGAAAATATTGAAGTTTAAAAAGATGAAAATAATAAAGTAGAAAGTATTGAAAAATAAAGTAAAAATAATGTAAATCAAAATAATAAAGATTAAGAGGATATTCCTTAATAACTTAATGAAAATTAATCATAAAAGTAAGAATAATAATAAAATATTGATAAAGTATTATAAAATGAAGATATTATAGCTTGAAATAGAAAAAAAAAAAAATTATTATAAAATTATTTTCTGAAAATAAATAAATATAAATATATATATATAAATTAATAACAATTTAATATATAAATAAAAGAAATCATAATTTTTTTTATTTTATATTTTTGTATTATCTTAATTTTTTTGATTATAAATATTTTTAAATGATTTAAAGAATTTGTTTTTTAGTATATAAATTAAATACATAAATTAATATATATATATAATATATATATATATATATATATATATATATATATATATATATATATATGAATGTATATATATATACTTAATAATTAATTATTATAATAAACTTATTTTTATCTTTATTTAAATAAACAAACAAATATTTAATATATTTTTTTTGTATTTATATATATATTTAATTTTTTAAATAATTTTTTTATATTTATTAAAATATTCCTATTTTATCTTTTTCACTTAAAATAATCTAGAACTTTTTAAACAATTTAACTAGATGAGTACTCTCCATTTTCTTATATTTACGAAAAGTTAGATTTTATATGTATTTATTATATATTTTATACAAAATCAACTAGTTCTTTACTATTTAAATAAGGTTTATATTTAAATACCTCAAGTAAGCAAATAAGTATCTTTTTTTTATAATAAATATAAAAATAATATATAATTTTATGATATTTACATTTTTATCTATAATATTAATATTTTTATGAGTAAGTATTTTAGTTAAAAACAAAGAAAATTTAGCTGGAGGATATTTAGAAAGTACAAAAAGTCTTTAAACTAAATTATGAATAAATACATGTATTTAATCCTCTGTAGTTTATTCGTAATCTTAAAGGAATATTTTTTTCCATAAATCTTTATAATCTTTATCATTATCTTATATAATTGTATTTTTTTCATTATCTCTACTTTAAAGCCCTTAAAAATTAATATATATATATAATATTTATATTTTTATTTTAATAAATTATATATGATTTTTTTTTTTACAATTTAAAAATAAATCAAATCTATTATCACATTCGTTTATGGCTTCTAATGCTTATTTTCTAAGTTTATCTTCTTACTAGGTCATTATTTTTTCATTATATCCTTCTTCTTGTAAGACTTTTAAAATTTTAAGTGTATTTTCCATTTCGTAGTCAGATAATTTTTATCCTTCTCTCCATACTTCTTATTCAATTAAAGTAATAATTTAATTGTTTTTAGTATTTAATGTTTATTTGCTTATTAATTCAGGCGCAATACCCCATTCTTTAAATTCTTTGTTAGCCCTTAAATGTACTTCAGTGCTATTAATAATCGCAGAATCGAAAAATTATACAAATTCAAACACTAAATCGTTTACTTACATATCTTAAAATTCTTATAAACAACTAAATTTGAAGTTATTTAACGTATCCTTATCTTATTAAGATAATTAACCAAAAGTTAGGTTTGTGGGATTTTCAGGAGTTATTAAAGTGTTTTCTTACCATTATTTTAAGTATTTGATTTCTGAATCTTTTAATAGTTTATTTTAGGCTAATTTTGATAATATGTTAGTCTTTATAAGTTTTTATTCGGCACGGATTCTTTTTATTTTTAAACATTAAGAAAGATCTTTATTTGATATTATATAGTCCTAAAGATTTTTATTATAAATAAATATATTATTAATATATTGTTTTATTTACGCGATCTTTTTCTAAATCATATTTAATAAATAATTTATCTTAAAATAATTATTTTTAATCAAACTAAACATCAATATATATATTTGCTGTATTTGTTAATTAAAAAAAAAAAAAGAAAAAGTTAAAGTTAAAGTAAATATATAAATAATAATTATTTTAAGTTTTTACTTTATCCTTATAAAAGAATATCTAATTTAGTATTTTCTTCATTAAATTTCTAAAGATACTTCAAAAGTTATTTTTAGAAAAGTGTTTTTTATTAATTCAAACTATTGTCTTGTATAAATGCCTAATAATTTATAAAAAATAAATTTAATAAAAACTAAAATATAAATATATCTATTACCTTATTAATATTTTTTAAATATTTCTTTAATTTTTACAAAGTTAGCATGAGCTAATTAAAGAATTTGATTTTTTTAGTAAGCCTTCTTAGAAAAATACTCTAAATACTACTAACAGAATAGAGAAGCAGTTTGATTTTTATTTTCTATATATTAAAAATATTTATGAGGATCCTTTGGTGCATATTTAAGATTTTCCTATTATTAATTACTATTTTAATTAAGATGATTTTAAATAATAACATCTATGAACTCAAACTAATTCAATAGTTATATTATTTATGTATTATTCATTTATTTTTTCAACTCATAATTAAAATTTAATAAATTAGCTACATACATAGTTTCTTCACTAATATTAGAATTCTCCCCATTATATAGTAATTAAGTTTTATCATTCATAAAATACTCCTTTTCCCAATTAATTGAATATTTCAATGTTTTCTAAACCTCAGAAGGTCTAATTTATGATCTAATCTCTTTTTTTTTAGGAATATTAAAAGCACTAGTGCTTCCTAAATTACATGCTGAAGCTACTGTAGCACTTAAAACATTTTGAGTATGAGATAATTAGCAAATATTAGAAATCCCATATTAATTAGTTAACAATTCTTTCCATTAAGGAAAATCAATATAGTTTTATTCATTTAAAAAAGCATAATTAAAAAAAATATCTAAATTATTATTATTTTCTTTATTATTATTAATTTATTATTTTTCTGAAATTAAGTCTATTGATAGTCTTTTTCCAATCCATTTTTACGAAGCACAAAATTCAATTTATTCTTTTTATTGTGAAATATTTAGTTTTTTCAATGAGTGGTCTTTTAGTAATTAAAGGAAGGTTTTTTTGAATAACTTTTATGTTTCTTCATCTAGATTTTTTTTTTCGTTTTCTTATAAAACTTCCTTATAATCTAAAGATAGGCTATAAAGTAAATATTTTACATGCATTAAATCACTTAAAGAGACTTATAGGAATTTTCTACCATATGTTAAGTGTATTATTTGTAAAAACTTCTCCTTTATATAGGTCATTTTAAAACTTTAGTTGTCGATCTTTTAAGATAATATGACTAAATCATCAATTAAGTCTTAGTATATATTGCTTCTGGTTAATTTAATTAGTTTATGGAATTTCTCTTTATTTTAATTAATCATAAGAGTCCCATTTTAATCTAAATGCATATAATTTAAGACATTAATGAATTCAACTTGAACATTTTAGAGTCTTTTTTTCATGAGTTTCTCTAATACATTATATTCGACGCTGTTTTCGCCTGAATCTAAATAACCAAAATCTGAAGAAGTAATAAATATGCATTTTTGGACAATATTTTGCTAATTATCATAAGCTAAAGTTAAGAAATCAGGCTAAATTTCTTTAATATTAATATTTTAAAGATTTTCTTTTTTTCCAACTAATTATACTATTTCATCTTTTATGGGATTTTTGGAAAACAAATTAAAACCAAATAATCTAGCACCACTTCCATTATATCCTAAATGAATATTTTCTAACTATAAATATTCATTAACAAAATTTAATAGAGGATTTTCGATCATATAAGTTTATGTTTAAAGATGTTTTTATAGTTTTTAAATAGTCTATAAACTTATTTTATCATAGAAAATTGAATAAAAGGCAAAATCAATTAAATCAGATAATTATAAAGATTCATTTTCGCAGCGTTAAAGTATTTTTTAAGTTAAATGTAAGTATTTTTAAGGAAATTAAACATATATTTTAAGTACAGATATTAATTTATCAGTACTCAATTAGTCTAAACTTTCAATATTAATTTTTTAGATAAATTTATCAGCAGTTTATATAAGACCTTATATTAATAATATAAAATATAAAAATAAAATATATAAAAATAAAATTAAAAACGTAAATGTTTTAAATATATATATATATATTTATATAAATATTTATTTATATATAAATATTATTTAAATATATTTATAAATATATTTTTTATAATACCTATTTTGTTATATGCATCAGCATAATTAGCATATACATTTGGGTCTTAAATATTTTATAGTGAATTCAAAATTATATCTTACATTTATTTAATCTATTAATGTGCATAAACAAATTATTTAAAATAAATTCTATCTATTTCATCATATTCATATTCTAATTGCCCTTCTACATTTTTTTTGAAAAAATCTGCCCATTTTTCATTTAAAAAAGTTTCTCCAGTATATTATTTTCCTTTATGATTAGCATATTTTGCTATTTCTAATAACGCTTCAGAATATTCTAAATGAGAATATTCTTCAGCTAGTTTTATGTCTATATTTTTTTTATTTAATTCTTCACTCTATCTATTTTCTAAATCAATGATTTTTTATTATATTAAGCTTTCAAAAAAAGGAAGAAAATTTTCATTTTATTAAGTAATAATTTTTTCTACTATATCACTTATTTATTATATATTTTTATCTTGATCTAATATTAATTCTAATTTTTTATAATAATATATATTTATTTATATTTTCCATTGTATTTATTTAATACATGGATTTTTAATTTCATTAATTGATATTAAATTAGAATCTAACATTAATTCTTCTAAATTGAGTAAATCTAAATTAGTCATTGCATTTTTATTTACTTTTTCATTATCTTCTTATGCTTTTATTAATTTTATATAATTTTTTCTAATTTCCATTACTGAAGTGATTATTTTTTTTAAAGCAGATGTTGCTTTTTTAACTTATTTTTCCATTTTTTTTGCTATAATTTCAACTTCTTCAAATATATAAGTATCTTCTAATTCTTCATCTTCTATTATTTCTTATTCTTTTTTTTATAATTTTATTATTTATTAATGATCTTCTTCATTTTCTTTTTGTTTTTTTTCTTGTTCTTCTATTTCATTCTAGTATTTTAACATAACTTATTTTAATGTTTTTTTAAATTAATTATTTTAAAGAATTTAAATTAAATCTAAAGGCTTATTATTATAATATAAAGGCTTATGTAAACAAGGATTATTATTTAAGAGATTATTCATATCTATTTGAAAATTATTATCTATATTACTAATTTATCTTTCAATCTATTTTGTATTTTTTTGATTGAATAAAAAAAACTTTTTTTTTTTTTTTCTTACTTTTTTAAGTGATAATAATAATAAAGAAATATCATTATAATCTAATAATCTTAAAGAACGAATACATTTTTATATTTTTTCAGGTGAAAAAACTACTCCATCCTTCAAACCATATTTAAAATCATTTATAAGTTCTTAAAATCTCCATGATTATTTTAATTAATCCATCTTTTTATTTAAATATATATATATAGATATATATATATATATATATATATATAAAAATTAATTTATTTTATATATATGAAATTACATTGTAATCATAATAATGCCTTGGGTCTATACCCATACTCTTATATGTAGATGCTATATAATAGAAAGCTTCGGCTGTTATTTATTAATCAAAACCTAAAGTATTAGATGCTATGAAAGATCGGAGGATATCTTTAAAAGGTAGTTTTGAATTTATAGAGGAAATTTTCATTTTTCTTAAGTATTTTTCTTTTAATTTTTATCGGATTTCGTGCTTTTCTTATAAATATTGCATTTTTAAAGCAAAAGATTCTAATTTTATATCCGATAATTATTCTGGGTTTTATTCAAAGGATTCTTAATTGATTTTGTTTGTTAATTTTTATATACTAATTATTGATTATTTTTTTTATAAAATTAAATTTTTTATGTTTTATTTGGAGATTCTAGATAACATTTTTTTTTATTTTTTATTTATTTATTAAAATAAAATAATTTTTATTTTTGTATTATTTAAGATATTTTTTTTATTTTAAAATAATTTTTATTTTATAAAAAGTAAGTAATTTTTTTTCAGTTTTTTTTTTTTTTTTTTTTTTTTTTTGGTAATAATTATATGTAAATTTAATTTTTTATATAAATAAAAAATAATTTTCAATCTAAACATTATTTAGCCCAATCTGATAAATCATTAAAGTTAGCAAATTAACTTTAATTTTTTTTAATTAAGGAAATTTTGCTTTAATTTTAATAATTAGAATTCATAGAAGTACTATATTTATTAATCTAAGGGATAAAAAACTATTCTTAAGCAAAATTTTTTAACAAATTTTCATTTTTAAGTACCGTTTCTTAAGCTTATTAATACAAATCTTAGATATTATGAATAATCTATGTATTTTATTATTTAAGAATTGTATAATCAAATTAAATTTATAAATTGCTACTTTTTAATTTTTCTAAATCCTACTCATACTATATATGTTCATGAATATCGATTTCCTTTTTTATTTACTCAACCTCTTATTTAAGATTAATTAATTAGGTTTTAATACTATCATCAATTTTTTTTTATTTTTATTTTTATAATTAATCACTTCTTTAAGAAGAATTCGAAGAAATATCTAAATTTGAAGATATACAAGAAATTGTAGAAATTATTTATTTTGAATATTTATTTGCTATTTCTTATAATTATGGGATTTATGTGTATATTTTTAAAACTTTTTATTATATTTTATTATATTTTAATTTAAAAGCATTAAAGTTTTCAATTTCTATTTATTTTATTTAATATTATGTTTATTTAGTTTCATTTTATTTTAGTTCTTCTAAAAAATATTTATAATCTTATAATTCAGATTATATTTCACGTAATATTTCAAATATTTAATTAATTTTTACGATTTAGGTAACTAACTAATATTACTATAATATTTATTCATCAATTTTTAAATTATTTTAATATAATTGAATTCTTTCTTATATTTCATTTATGGTTATGAAAATGTTATTGCTCATTTTTTATTAATTGTAAAAATTATTTAATTTAGTTATTTTAATTTTTTAAAAAAATAAAAAAATATTAAAATAATATTTATTTTATTTTAAAATGAAATGTAATGTAATGATAAGTTTTCAAAACAATAACTATTTATATATTTTAGAAATTTTATTAATATATTACAATTTAAATGATAATAATTATATTAATAGAATTTTTAAATTATAAATATAGGTATATATTTTTAATATAAATATAAATAAAAATTTAAATATATAATTAATACAAATATAAATATTAATATTAATATTAATAAGAACATAAAATATATTTTATTTTAATTTTTTTCATTTTTATATTTATATTTTCAATTTCAAAAATTATATTTATAATTTTTATAATAATGTTATTAATAACTTAAAAAAATTACATTTATATTGATTTATTTATAAAATTATAAATTTTGTATTTTATATATTTATTTTTTCTTAATTAATTAATAAAAATTATCAAAATTAAATATACATCTTCAATTTTATATTTTATATTTTTAAAACTCGAAATAATTTTCATCTTTACTATCATTAAAATAATCTTCAATAAACCCTATATTTTAGTCATAAATATTTTCTAAATCTTATATAGAATAAGCAAGTTCCAATAAATTATTTCTCAGCAATGGTTTCAAAGGTAATGGCCATTGTATAATTTGATTTCCAAATATTTATTTTAAATTATTAAATAAATTATCAGGTTTTCCACATAAACCTTTTTTATATTCAACACTACTTTAATTATGAATAATAGATACATATTAATCAATTAAATATTCGTAAGCAAATTGCAAGAAATAAAATTATAATAAGCAATTTAAAAAAATCTAATTTAATATTATTATAAACTAAAAAAAAAATTACGATTGCATTTATAATATTAAACAAATTAAATATTTGTTAAATACTATAAATGTGATAGATAAATTAAAAAAAAGTATTAATAACTAAAAAAAATAAACTCAAAATTCCAAAAATAATCGAATATATAAGAAAAAGTATAAAATATTTCTTATTTCTAAACCCTAAACAATTATTAATCCATTTACAATGATGATCCATTCGAAAAACGCATTTTTAGCAAATTTTACAATGATGAGCTCTAGGGGGCTTCCATTATTTTTAAATGCATTTTTAACAAAAAGAAATTTAATTTTAATAAATCAATATTTATGGAGGGGTTATATTTTATCTTATAATATAATGTATAAATATAATTTATATATAATAAAAAAATGTATATCTATATATATTTAATATTATAATATTAATATTAATTTTAATATTTATATAATAAATAAATATACATTTATTTTTTTATATATATATATTTATATTTGTTTTCGTTTTATTTCAATTTTTTTACTTTATTTATCCTGCATCTGTTAATGAAGCTCTTAAATAACTAGTTTACGAAAGCAAATAAAATAGCTAATAAATAATGAATTATAATAATACTATAGTATTTAATTAAAAATAATTATCTTTTTCATAATAGTATTCAAGAAAATAAATTTAATAACTTAAATAATTACTTTCTAAACATAAAATAAAAACAAAAACTTAATTTAAATTCATATATTTTTTCATTATCTTTTTTTTTTTTTTTTTAAATAAAAAGAATTTAATATTTACATAAATTATTTTAATCAAAAAAAAAAATATCTTCAAAGTTTAATAAAAAATTATTATATTAAATCTTCACAATCTTCCAAATAATCCACTTTTTAAACTTTATCTCTAACCCATTTAGATAATCTTTATATATTTTTTTATTATAAAAACCTATCATCAACTAATATAATACATGCAAAATCTCCAATATGTCTAATAGCCCTTCCTATTGATTAATTTACCGCTTTCATACATAACCCTTCATAAAATTCTTTACCATTAAAAGTATTTTATGGTTTATTTTTACACTGCGAATCATAAAACTACATTTTTAATTATAAATCAGCATTCCTAAAATTTGAATAAGGTAATCCAAATACAACCACAACCCTAGCAAGTTCATCCGAAAAATTGATTCCTTCACTAAGTTTTCCTCCTATGACTGAAATAAGAACTGGATTTTCTTCATATTTTCTTAGTTTTATTATTTTTTCATATTTTTCGAATATATTGATTTCGTTTTTATTATCAAAAAACGCATTAATTATTTTTTTTTCTTCTTTTTTTAATTTTTCTATAAATCCATAATTTTATACAAATATTACAATTCCACCTTTTATTTTTTACTTATATAAATTTTTTTATATTAATTATGTCATTTCAATAGTTTCTTCATATATTTTATCATTTTCTTTAATTTAATTATAATTAAAAACTATTTTTTTCTTTTTAAAGCCTCTTACAGCAAAAACTTTACATTGATCCTAACCGATAACATGCCCGCAAGCAAATTTAAAGCACTTCTACTCACCTAGACTTGAAAAAAGTTACTCAAATTCACTTAAAGGTTCCATTGTTCCTCCAGCCAGTATGACTGAATGTGCTTTTTCTACAATAGACTATAGCCTAGAAAGAGCATCTAGGCAAATAATTTACAAAAGTCCTTTTTTTGGGAAAAAAACAATTGAGAATTACTTCGAAGACCCAACAGATAGATGAAGAGTATTTAAAAATCTCAAAATTTTATCAAAAAGGACACCATTTTAATTTTTTTTATTATTATCTTATAATTCCTAAATATCTTTTTTAAATTTTTCCTAAAATTTCTAAGGAATTTTAAAAGAATTTTCCTTTAAATTTTGATTATAAAAATGAACTTTTTTCCCTACATTATTATCTTCTATATATTTCTTTATTTCCAAAAACTCGATTTTATCGAAATTTATTTTCAAAAGAAATTCCAAAAAATCGATTTTTATAAAAAAATCATCATCCCCTTTTTATTCCTATTCCTCGATATTTTTAAAAAAACAGCAAATTTCATTTAATAAACTTTTTAAATTTTGCAAAAAAAACGCATTTTTAGCTGCTAAATTTCTCTAATATTATTAATAATAATTCCCTATATCTAAAAATGCCTATAAAATTTCTTCTTTTAATTTTATTTCTATAGAGTTAATTCCTCTTAAATGTTCTAAAATATTATGTGATTCATCAATTATTATTATTGAGTTTTCTAAACTAATGCCCATTTTTTCCCTTGCATCATTATCTAATAATAAAGGATAAGGAAAGCATAATACTTAAGCATTAAAAGATGCTTTTTTACCCAAATAATAGGGACAAACACTATTTTTTTTAGCCACAATTTTCATTTCATTTATTTCATGAATTTTCGTAAAAAATAGATACTCTAAATCTTCTTAAAAAGATACATAATTTTCATAATAAATACATTTTTTTTCAACTTTTTAATTTATTTTTTCATCTTTTTAATTTATTTTTTCATCTTTTTTTTATATTTTTTCATCTTTTTTTTATATTTTTTCTGTTTCATTTTCATTTTTTCGGCTTTAATTTTTCAAAGTAACATCTCTACAAAAATCTTCTATTTAATTTTAAGAAAGTTAATTATTTTCAACATGTTCATTTATACATAAAATTTATCTACTCCCTAAAGCTTAAACTCTTAAGTTTTTAAAAGGCGTTTTTTATATTTCTTACATAAATTATTTCACTTAAGAATGTGTTCTTGAAGCGTATATTATTTTCAAAGGCAAAAACTCATTTTTATCTTATATTTCTTCCAAATAATTATTTTTCTTGTTTCGATATTATTTCTAAATTTCATCATCTCCTTTAAATAAACTATTTAAGCCATCATTTTTTTTATTTTCGTACTTTATTTATATCCGACTTTTTCTATTCCCAAATTCTGCCAATTTTTTCTATTTTTCTTACATTTCTTTTTCTTTTATTTCTATTTATTTTATAAACAAATCCATATTTACATCTTATATGTCTTTCAGCCAGTCAGGTAAATCATCTAAATCTTCTTAATGCTCATCTTTTTTTTTATATATTTTGTAATTTTTATAATTATCCATATACCAGGTAAATACACCAGTTATTAAACTTAAAGACTTTCCTGTACCTGTTGGACTTTCAAAAATGCAAAACTTCTTTTAAATATCTAAAGCTTTATATATGTTTGTACTAAAATCAACTTATATATTATATGGTTTATGAGGAAAATTATTTGTTATTTTTTAACAAATTTAGCATTCCATATTTTTTTTATTTATTTAGATTAAAAAAAAAAAAAGAATTTAAGCAACAAAAATTATAATTTTAATTTGTAATATTTATAAATTTATTTTTTAAAAAAAATTATGTATTATAAAGAATTATTTTTTTATAAAAAAACATTCATAAATATTTTTTAATATATATATATATATATATATTCAAGATCTATATATTTAACCATCATTTTTAACTATCTTTAAAAAAGACTTTCTAATTAAAATCTTTGCTTAAATTATCAATTTATTTATTTTTATACCAATCAGGAATTAGATGATTTTTCAATTAAGGTTAAGTAGATATTTCTTCTATAAAAAAATATAAAAAAAAAAAAAAAAATAGAAAAAAAAATAACCATTTGAGAAATTAAAAAAGTCAGGCATATTCGGGTAACTTTAATAGAATTTTTCATTTCTCAAATCATTAAAATATGGATGAAGTAAAGCTTCTAAAGGAGTAGGTCTTTCACTAGGGACATAAATAAGAATTTTGCTAATTAAATCAACTAATAAAGGGTCAGGCTTTTATTTACTAAAAAACTTTGTTTTAATTTAATTTAATCAATTAATAATAATAATATTACTTTAGGCCAAGAACAAGGTTTAATTTAAGGAAAATTATATTAATTATGATTAGGATTCATTTTAAGTACTTGCTCTTTAGTGGGAGACCCAATAATTTTGATAATTTCAATTAATTAATCGACTGAATTTTGACCTTAGAAAATAGGTTCAAACAGAATCATTTCAGCAATAACAGTTCCTAACTTTTTTTTTATAAAAAAAAATTAAAATATAATAATAAAAAAACCAATCGACCAAATATCTATTTAAGTAGTATATTAAGCAGCCCCAAATATAAGTTCAGGAGCTCTATAATATCTAGAACATATATAAGCTATATTAGAATCACCTTTTACAAGTTTTTTAGCCGAACCAAAGTCACATAATTTTAACAAAAAATTTTCTGAGTCTGTCAATATATTTTAGGGTTTTATGTCTCTATGAGCAATACTAATACCTTTAAGATATGCTAAACCTCTAATCAATTAATATGAAAATACTTTGAGTAACTAAGGTGGAATTTATTGCTTAATTTTTCGATATTATCTAATAAGGTTTGAAAGAGTTTCTGGAACATATTCCATAACAATGTTTAAATAAACTTCATCATCCTTTATAAAAATAAATATAATATGAAAATATATAATTAATGATAATATATATAAAATTGATAATTATATATATATATAGACAAATATATAAAAATATATATATATATATATATTTTATGCTTATTATATTCATTTAAATTTACTAATTTATTAAATTTTTTTTTTATAGTTTTTTTTTATTATTACTTTATTTCCTTTTGTGTAATATGCTTGTTTTAGTTTTATTATGTTTTAATGATTTAATATCTTTATAATTTCAAATTCTCTATTTTTGTATCTTTTATCTTAAAACACTTTTTTTATAGCAACCTTTTCATTTGTATCATTTAATGTTGCCTTTAAAATTTATTTTTACAAATTATAATAAAAATTATATAAAATTTATTAATTAAAAAAATATAAATATATATTTTTACCAAATAAACTACTCCAAATGTACCATTTCCTATTATTTTTTCAAATGTAATTCCTATGGGTTAGTTATTTTAAGATTATTAACCCTAAATAATATTTTAATATTTAATTTTTTATATAACAAATAAATGATTTTTAGTAATTTAATGTATTTTTATTTAATCTATAAAATTTTTATAATTTCATTACTTATTTATTTTATTAATCCTATTGATTTGGTTATAGTTACACTTATGTTTTACTCTAATATTTAATAAACATTTTATTTTTTATTTTATAATTTTGAAATTTATTTGGTAAGTTTTAATATTATAATTTTTTTATATTTTTTTAAAAAAAATTATAAATAAAAATTAATTTTAATAAATTATAAATATATTTTTTTTTTCTTATGACAATTTTTTTTATATTAGACTACGAATAGGAGAAAAAACAAATTTTTACTTAAAAAATAAAAATAATAAAATATATCAAATAATATTTATATATAAAACACATATATTTTAATATAAATACTTATAATATAATTTTATTTTTGGAATCTAATTTTTTTTTAAATTATTCTGTTCCACTTTTTTAATTACATAAATCATTTGAATTATTTTTTTTTTAAGTTAATATAAATATATAAAATAAAATTTATTTAATATAACATAACATATAAATAAAAATTTAAAAATTATTGGTTATATTTATCAACATTATTATCCAAAAATCCAAAAAATATATTAAAAATAACTTAATTCCCTATAATAAATTAAACAGTACTTTTTCAAAAAGTTACTAATTTCCAAAATATCAAAATATTATTAAAATAGTAACATTTGATAATTAAAAAAATAATAATATACAATTTTACATTTTTGAAGTGTCTCGATATAAAAAAAATAATATTATATTTTCTTCGTTTATACTTAATAAGTAATAAATATTTATAAAATAACTTCCATAAAAGATAAATAACTCTTGTAAAAAATTATAATTCAAGCGAAAAACGTAGAAATTTATAATTATTCTAATCAAAAATTAACCAATCATATAATTATATAACTTTAATATAATAAATATTAAATTTAAGAATTATAATTTATTTTTATGATTTCTATAATTAATGAATGACCAGATAAAAGATGCAATGTATATTTAAGATTTAAATTTTACTATTTATTATAATAATTTTTTTTGTATAAATAGATTATACATAGTATTCAATAAATTCTATTTATTAATTTAAAACATCTAAAATTAAAATATAATTTAAAAATGTATAAATTAATTATTTTTTTATTTTATTTATATAATTTTTATTTTAATTTTTCCTTAAAATATAACTTATTTTTATTTTTATCTTTTTAAAAAAATTAATTATTATTTTTTTTTCCTCAATTTTAATTTAAAGAAAAAAATAAATAGATATTTGTAAAAAATAAATATTATATAATCATTTAAATAAATAAAAAACTTTTATTTTTCTCTTAAAAAAAATATTTAGCTTAATTTTTAAAGCTTGTGAAAAAATAAAATCTTTCAAAACTAAACTTCATTTTCACATTATTATTATTTATTTAGGATTTGTTTAAAAGCCGAATAAACATGTTAATCTTAAAAGCAAACCGTACCTCCTCCTCTTTTCCATTAAGTTTACTACCTATTAATATCACCCAAGCAAACGAAATGTAATTTCTAGTCAGTAGATATAGCATACTTAGAATGATCTTTAGTTTATTTAAATTCATCTTACTTAGGAAAAGCTACTTCAAGGTTTGAAAAAACTTAAAATTCTCCTTAACAGCTAGGTGTTTCTTAAGGAGAACCCCAACTTTCAACAATCAAACCAGATTTAATATGCGTAGAAACTACATTTTCGTAAAAAGGAACTACCCATGAGCCTGACTTAGAAAATTTTTCAAATTTAATTCCTTTATGAGATTAAAACGGTATAACTTTTTATTATAAATCAGTATTTTTTTTCTTTGAAATAAGTTGTTAGATATTTTTAAATTAATCTAAAATTGAAGTTGCATTATTTGATGCATATACATAAGGCCAATCAATAGTATATCCTTCCGCAATATTATTTAATTATTCAGAAGTTGTAGATATACAGAAAAAATGTTAAGCAAAGATTTATTATCCATCTTATATCTTCAAATCTATTTCATCATTTATTATTAAAGGAAATTTAGGAGCACTATGCACTATTAAAAATCCATTATGTCTTATTTATTTTTTTATAAATATATTTCGAATGTATTTTAGTAATTAATATTTACTTATCTAATCCCATAATTCCTTTAGAATGTGCATATGTTAAAGAAATATCCTTTTCAGCAACTTCATCATTCCAAAAAACAGATGCATATTTATCAGATTTTAGGCTTTTTATTTATTAAAGCGTCTTTAATAAAGGAGATATTGAAATATCATTAAGTTCTTTTTTTGTTGATTCCAAATCTTTACAAGGTTTTGAAGAATCACAATAAGAAAATTCCGTACTATCAGGATGTTTCAATGCTATAAAATAGTCTACTTTATTTCCTTTTGAATCAAGGCATGAAGGGCTTTAAAAGGCAATATTTAAAATAAAAAAAATAAATAAAAATATTTTATAGGATTATAAATTCATATTTTGATATTTTTTGATAATTTTTTATTTTATTTAATTTTAATATTATTTGTCTAATAAAAATACATATATTTATTTTTAATTTATAATTAAAAAAAAAAAAAATTCTATATAAAATAAAAGAAAATTCATTATTTAATCCAATATACATTATAAATAAATATTTAAAATTTTTTATAACATTTATAATGACCTATATTCTTTTAATATATATAATCATTTTTTTTTAAAAAGTACTATTTCACATTAAACAAATAATAAATTATAAATTTTATAAAAAAAAAAAAAAAATATGAGTTGCACATTTAGCGACTAAATAATAACAGCAGGTGATGATGAAGATTATAAGGTAAGAACCGAAAATTAATTAGTATAAATTTAGGCTATAAATTTAAGATATGGAGACTATCTAATCATAAATGAACGATAAGTTATGATAATAGAAAATATTCGAGTATAAAAAAACTCATAAGATATTTAATAATAAATTATAGTGACTGGAAAAAATATAATGAGAAATAATATTCAAATTAAACAATATTTTAGTTCTAAATCTAACGTTTCGATTTTAAAGAATCCTTCTATATAAGAAAGTTAAATTATTGTTTTTGACCCTGATGATTGTGATGAAGTTTTTGGCAGAAATAATAGAGGATATATTATTAAGATCGAATGTTTTAATTAAAAATAATAACTTTAGAATTTACTAGAATAAAATGTTATTTCAAATAAGTTATTTGCTAAAACTATTAGCATTAGAAATAAAAACGAAGTTATTTAATTTTATAAGTAAAAAAATTAAGCATCTGCTTGAATTTTTTTTAATTTCTAAAAAACGAAAATTAAAATAGATAACTGTATTGTTTATATAAAATAATAGAAAAAATTACTACAAAAAAAAAATTAATTATAAAAAATAATTATTAGAAATTATTAATTATTATATATATATGATATATAATATTTACTATTTTTTAAAAAACTCTATTTATTATGCTTATATCGAAAAAAAATATAAATATAAATTTTTATAAATTATAATTTAATATTAATTATTCAAATTTTTTTTAAAATATTTATAATATAAAAAATTTAAAATATATATGAATAATTAACGTTATTTTTGAATTAAATAACTATTTATAAATTTAATATAAATATTCTTATTATAAATATTATATAATTAACTAAGAAATTATAAAAAACATTAAAATAAAAAAGAAAAATTATGAAAAATTGTCAATATAAATAAAAATATATATAAAAAAAAAATTATAAATAAAAATAATAAAAATAAAAAAAATGTATTATTCATAATAATAATAATAATAATAATAATAATAATAATAATAATAACATAAACAATATTAATAATAAATATATTTTTTATAATTATATTTATAACGATTATAATAAATAATAAAAATTTATTATTTGTTATTAAATATATTTAATAAATATATTATTATAAAGGCATTTTTTTATATTTTTAAACATATTAAATAATAAATTTTAATATTTCACAATATTTACATTTGAATATTTGCTTATTTTTATTTTTTAATTATAAAATATTTATATAAATGAAGTTTTATATATATCTTATTTTTTTTTTATTTTTATATATATTAATTATTAAACTTTTATTTATTTTTTTAATAATTTTTTTAGCATCTATTAATAAAAAATTAATATTAGTTTTTCTAAGTATTTTTAATTTCTTTTAATAAAATATATTTTTTATGTAAATTATAATTTAATAATTTCTTAATTTATATTTTTATTAAAAATATAACATGTAATATATTATATAGCATTAAATATTTAAATTATAATATTAAAAAATTTTAACATTAATATTATTTGATTTATAAAAATGTATTTTTTATATATTATGTAATTTTTAAAAATTTTAAAATGATTTAATTTCTTTCTTTATACTTTAATTATATAAAGAGTTTTGATAATTATAAATATCATGTTTATTACTTTCTAAAAATTATATTTTTTAAACAAAAAAATTAAATATAAATTTAAAAAAATTTAAATAAATAGATATGTTTATAAAAAATCTCATTATTTCCCGTTTTCAGATAATTTTATTTTTTTTAAAGGCTAATCAATAGAATTTTAAACATCTTCTAATATTTCTTCTATAGATTATCTATTTTCAGATAATTTTTATTTAAACAATTAACTATTTTAGCTATCAACTCCTAACAAATCACATTATTCATAAATTTTATCATATTTTTCTTTCCATTCTTATTGAAACTTTTTAAAACTTTCATTATTAAACTTCAATTCATCTTAAACATTATTAATATCTTTTTGTAAAATATTTAAATTTTATTATTTTTAAGCTATTCCTTATTTAAAGCAATTAACTATATAATTTAAACAAATATTCCATCCAAAAAAATTTTAATTTTTTTCTTCACTTTCTTCAAAATTTATATTTCCCCATAGACAAAAATATCTATGTTCTTCTAAAGGGTTAAATAAATGCGTTTTTTATTATATTTATAGACTTTAAAATTAATCATTTTGTGTTGAATATTCTTATATATTTATATTTCTACAACAAAATGGACAATATAATTTCTTTTTTTCACTTTCTGTTTATACTTGCCAACCAAAAAGTTACAAAATTTTTAAAATCTAATTTATTTATTTTTAATTTTTTTTTTATTTTTTTGTTTTTTTATACATTTATCTAGTTTTAATTTAATTCATTAAAAAACAAAAACTAAAATTCCATTGACTTTTATTTTATTTTTTGTTAAAAAAGTTTTAATTATATTATTTTATTACTATTATTTTTAATATATTTGTATCTAATAATGGGTAAGATTTTTCTTAATTATTATTTTGCTTGTAAGTTTAAATAATTTAATCATATAAAAAATCAATATTTTTTTGTAAAAAGTCCAAATTTAATTCAAATAATAAATCAATTTATTAATCTTCTTAATAATAGAAGCATTCTTATTTATGATTTTTTGCTTTTGCAAGGAAATTTTAAACATTTAAATCTAGAAAAAATAAAAGAATTATAACTCCTTTTAAAAATATATAATTATATACCATTTTTATTAGATTAATTTTCATTAAAATTCTCATAATCCATATTTTCTAAATTACTTAACTATAATTATTCTTAACACATAACACATTCTAAAGTTTCGTTTCCAATACATTTAAAACCACATTTCGATAAATAATAAGGATTTATCTTTTTTATAATTTTTATTTTTAATTTATTAAATGCATGATATTTTTAAATTAACTTTTGGATTTATTAAAGTCCAATTTTCAAAAGTATATGTTTATAGTCTTTATTAAAATTCTTAAAATTCTTATATTTACATTTTTATTTTTTATTTATAATATATTATATGTTTTTAAGTTTTTAAATTATATCTAAATATAAATAATTTATATATAAAATTTCTCTAAATATAAAATAAAAAACTAAAATTTAAATATTTTTTAATGTTAAAAGAAGCGCTTAATTATTAACTTAAAGTATTAATTTCTATTTAAAACAAAAATAATTCTAAAATAGAATAGATATTATTAATTGTTCGAATATTTCTTTTTAAAATATATTATAAAACATATTTATAAATTGAAGATAATTTTTATTTTATATAATATATACTTTTATATAATTACTTTACTTTACATTATTAATAAGTAATTTATTTTTTTAAATATAAAATAAATAAAATATATTACTTTTCTTCAAACAAATAATGAATTTTTAATTTAATAAAAGCTTTTTATTTTAAATAATAAAATAACTATTTTAATAAAAAATATCAAAAAAGCTATAAGAAGTTCATTTAGAATAATTTATAATATCAGAAAAATCAAATATAGAAGAAATTTCCTAAAACCAAGAAAATAAAAACATCAATTAATTTTATACGTTATCATTATAATATTAAAATTAGAAAAAATACGATCATTCAAACTATTATATAGATGAATTTATAAAATAAACAGGAAAAAAAGAATATAACATAATAAAATGTATAAATTATTACAAAAAATGTGATTTTCCTGAAAGTAAAATATATGTTGAAAAATGTATTAAATACTATTAAAAATAAGGATGTTTAAAGAAATATTTAATGAAAAAAATAATTTAAAAAGCTTATTATTACAAAGCTAAAATCGAAAAAAAGTAATTTAATTATAAAATAGCTCTTTAAGATTTTGAAAAACTATTAACTTTAGAAAAAAACAATTAAAAAGCTTTATTTTATGTTTCTTCTTTTTATTATAAATAAAACAATTTCAAAAAATGTATTATTTATTTAGATAAAAGCAATATGTTGGAAATTAAAAATGCTAAAATATAAGCAGATTGTTATTATAAAATTAACCATTTACAAAAATCCTTAAAATTATATAAATAAATTCTTATAAAAAAACCTTTAAATACAAAAGTATTAGCAAAAATTTCGAAAATACATATAAAAAAATAAGAATCATTCTAAGCAGAAATTTATATGAAAAGTATTTTATAAATAAACCCATAAGATGAAAAAATATTAAATAAATTAGGAAGTTTGTATTTAAAATAAAATTTAATTGAAAAAGCTCTATTTTATTTCTTAAAAATAATTATTTTTAATCCATAAAGCTTAACAGCATTAAATAATATAGGAGTATGCTATTAAATCTTTCATTAATACGAAAAGGCTTTTTAATACTTTTCCTAAGCTTTGTTAATTAACCCTTTACATAATATTAGTTATAGTAATATTTAATATAGTATAAGGAAAATTTAATTATTTTAAGATTCCTGCTTTTTATTTTATTAAAATTTTGTCTTTAAGTACCCTTAATTTATTGAAAAACTGGATTTTATTTATAAAAAATTAAGAAAAAATCCTATTTTTTCTGTTAAACTTGAATGCACAAATTAATAAATTCTTACTCTTTTAAGAATTATAGCATACTAAAAAAATATACGATAGTTTTTAATA